AATTTTTTCTCATGATCAAACGCAATCATATCGAATGCTCGCAAACTCCCGAGCCTTTTAATGAAAAAGATGCATTTTACTAAAATCTTAGGATTGTATATCACTGTAAATAGATAGTATGATTGTGAAATTTGTTATCGCATTGTACAAAATCAATACAGAAATGTAAATGGTAACTTTAAAAATAATAAGAGATCAACATCTTTGCTTTTTATCAAAAGTTGCAAGATGAAATACAAAGCGCGTATAAAAACACTGAAGCAGTCCAAACACACGAATACAATTCTCCATAGATCAGTCATCTATCTAAACAGCAAAAATAGCACTTGAATACCACGAATTCCATAAAGATCTATAGCATACAGTAGGAAACTGTTCCCGTGATCACTGACTGGTAGACCATCCCTAGTACACGTGCCGCATATCCCTCAAGTACAAGATTTGTTACTATATAAGGTGCGATAGTTCAGTCTCATTGATCGAGAGCGCAAAGGCGGCAAACAGTCTTGTTTGTTCAGGTCAAATGCGCTCTCGTGGTGGAGTGGTAACATCGCCTGGCCCGAATTCGATCGAAAAAAACCTGCCCGGGGGTTTCTGTTGCGCAACTACAGTTTTGCCATTTTCCTGGTCTGAAGTTTCTTTTGGTTTTTTTTTGAAATTAGTTTTGAGGTGCGATGAATAGATCAGTGGTGTATTGATTGTTCTTTTGAGTCTATCAGTATCGATATGGGGCACAGGTGGAGTACTCCGCGTATTTTTCCCGGCTGGCGAGGCATGGCCGCGCCGGCAATATCTATGATGAAGTTGCCGAGAATATGATAATAAGCTTTTCATGTGACGAATGGTGATGTAGTGGCGAAGTGGGACAATTTGTATTCTTCCATCTCTATGGCTTAGGGTTGACGGAGCTAACTATTATGACGCCGCGTTACAGATAGATTTATCCTAAATATCATGACTTATACAGCCTGCAATACAATCTTTCCATACTGATGAGTAAAGATTCATCAATGTCTCAAATTGCTAGGTGAGCTCTACTCATGTCACCAGAAAGTCCGCAACTCGAAAACTAAGAAACTAGGTTACTCCCTTGTAGCTTAACAGTATATGATACGTGCTTGTCTACCCGAGTTGCGGACTTTCTGGCGGCATGAGTACGCAGCAAAGACAGGGACTATCGCGCCTCATTGCTCGGAGTCTTGGACTATACCTATGCTTAAGTTCACACGACTAATAGTATGTAAAGCACGGCACTATTTGATACCGTGAAGTTGATTGAAATGATAGGCCCAATTATGTCTGTGAAAACTGAAGGCCGACCGAAAGTTATGACTTGAAATGTGATCACCGGTAAAAATCCGGGATTTCTCGAGTAGAAAGACCATTCATTATACTATACCGAGATTTTAACTTGCTTAATCAGAGACATAGACGAGGCATGCTGTAAGGTGCGAGCCATGGGACTGAAGTAAATTAGAACTAGGGTCCCCATGCTATGACATCCTCACTAAAATATGCAAGAAAAATTTCGGTCTATTTGTATACTGCAATGGTGGGGCTGAGATAGGTTTCCATCCCAACTACCTGAGCATACAAAACTACCGTCTCATCTCCTAACCGTATAAGATATTATTGCAAATAGGTATGCTGTGAGGACGAGATGAAAATTTAGACGTTAACCCTAAGCGAGAAAACTAAGAATTCCCCAGCCAACGCACCAGCCCACATCCCTACCCACCCCATCGACATCAACAGATTGCACCAGGAACAATAATTGCATATCTATAAGACGTAACAAATGAACATAATGCCGTGATTGGCGGCTGCTGTTCGAGAAGCAAACTCCAGTACTAACACAGAGCTAGACTCAACGCACTTGGTACACCAAACTGGCTTCCTAGCTTCCTCCTACTAATGTATGTACAAAGCTTCATATATTGCACGTCTCAAAATCGGTGTCTCAACAATTAATTCCGTGAGTGGCTAAGCTCAAAGGATGATAGAAAGTTAAGATGAAGTCCAGAACTCCTGCCTCATCACAATCTTCCATTCCCTAAAGTCTAGAATAGAAATTTTTGCATATCTTCGTTTGGTAAAAATCAACCTTCTTCAGAGTTGTCATTGGAAAAGCTTCAATGTGTTGCATATCCTCATCGTAGGGCTGAGAGACCAGAATTCACAACCCCGGCACATTCGCATGACTTAATAACTATGGCTCGAAGACTATGTCCATTTTTGCTTGGAATTCAGCATAGAAACGCAATGTCTTGGTTGGCCTGGCTAAAATTCTAGCAAATGCGGGTTCTCAAGGGAACCATTCTGGAGCTCTTCCGATAGCGTCGAATATTGCCATTGATCAAAGCTATTCGTCGCAAGGACTTCATCTGAGCCAGTCATTTGTAAACTTTCAAAATGTTGCATATCTCTAGTTTTGTGCCCGAAATAGACATCGATGACCTCACTTCAAATCTCCACACTACCAAGGCACTAAAGCTGGATCACGCCCCATTCTCTTTCTTCAGCCAATAACCCTATTGAAAGCAACTATTACACATCCCTAGTCTGTAGCAAATGAACCCAAAGATTCCATTAGTTCTACTAAACTTTCAGTGGATGACTAGTGCTTGATGAAATTGGATCGGAGTCCTGTCAATAGTATCAACAATACAGTCATTCCAGCACTATATTTATGCTAATATTTGCCACTGAAGCTTCGATTGAGCCAGTGATGTATTAGTTTGGGCATATCACATATCTGAAATTCGACACTCCACCATTTATTTCAGATGCACCCCTCCCCAGGTAATGCCGACGCTACAAAATGCTAATTTTGTCGCTAAGATTTATCGGGCTGATAGTGCATGATGGTTTGAGTATGTTGCATATCGTAAACTCGAAACCCCACCGTTTAGTTTAGTATAGCTGTATCGGCGTGCCGGCGTGTGCAAGAGCTCACCCGAAGCGAAGTCATCCCATGTAGACACTATGCCAGTATCTCTACGAGAGGAACAAGTCAGGAATAAGTGTAATATGTGATATGTTGCATATCGCAAATTTGACACCCCACCATTTAGCCCGTTAATCCCGTTCATCCTAGTATACCAGAATCCTTTGGCAAGAAGTTTGGTATGGCTTTCCTCTCCATTCTTATACGACTGAGAGATTCCGACACCATGGACACTCCAGATAGCTTCCAAATGAGGAAGAGATATCAATGAGCCATAATCGTGTCTATTTTCGTTGCAGCGGCCTACGTAAAGCCTGGCATGTTCCAAATAGGTTGGTTACTATAGTCTACAGTGACTACTTTAGTGATGTCGCTAATTACCGGAAGCCCAGTATGTTGCATGTTGCACGTCGCTACAGGGATGAGGAGGAAAATGCTGAACTCCATGACTTGTGGACCATGGGAGTCGAATTTGTTGCACATCTCTTTTCGTGTGGCTGATGGCTAAGTAGGATTTGTTGCATATCTCTTCCGTGTGGCTGAAGGCTAAGTGGATAATGGGGCCGCTCGAATGTTGTGATGCCATATAAGATAAGGTTCTCATATATACTACTAGCTATTTGAAATCGCCCTGCTCTGTTCTTTATCCAAGGTTGCGAGTAATTGGTACAAAGGGCTGTATTGTGGTTGTACATGTGGTATTTCCTCACGTATACTGGCCGGAAAGATAAAGAGCTCCAAGCGCTCATACATTGGTAGCAACCAACAAAACTGAACATTGCATGGATAGAATGTGCATGATTTCCTGAGAATATGGCAATCGTTTATTTCGTCTTCACCTGAGGAAACTTCAACATTACACTTGCAGTTTTGAATGTCCAACTGATGATCTCAGGAAAGGGGCAAAGACAGCTCCGTAATATCAAAGATATTGTTCCTCCACTGGCGATATTTCCATACCTTCCTTTCATAACGATATTCAGCAGCTCAACATGCATAAATGAGGGACAGTGGCAAAATAGCAGGAAGATGGTAAAACATTTCGGTAACTTCATTGTGTATCTATCCACAGAAAAAGAATAGAAGGGTGTGAAAGCTGGGACCTTGAAAGACACAAATTTATGACTGATAAACATTTAACCTGAATTACCATTGAAAATATCAAAGAAAGCATAAGGAAAAACACTTCACAATGGAACCCTAGCTGCATTATGAAAAATCACCTCGAACCTAACAACAACATAGTCTCCCACAACTTGCACAAGCCTGGCTCAATTCATATTAAGAGTAACTCTCAGAAGATCTACAAACTAAGTCTTCAAAGCCATCCCAATATAATGTCCCAACTCAAATTTTCCATTTTGTTGTATATAGTGAAATTTTCTTGGACGTGAACGGGAATTTGGGTTTTCAACTCCAAAGAGACCTGTAATAAACCTTGGATATGACTTCTACAAGGCTGTCTCTGTACAATTCTAAGTTTTCCCGAGGACCAACCCAGACTGGGTGTTGTTGTTTGAGAATATCTCACACGTGATGAAATCTTTTCCTCCTAATCAGAACAGTAGTCTGAAAGCTGTCGAGAAGGGAGTTGAATAGGCTGTGCGACTATATGTGTCGGTTCAGAGACAATAGGGGTATCTTTGTGATGTGCAACAAATTACGGAAAAGTCTCGGAAATTATGGTCAACCTTGTTGTGGAAACCAATAGGAAGAGTAGTCCTCCTTCCAAATGTGCAACCAGAAATAAGTAGGTTCTACTGAATGTGGAATGTTATCTTCCGCTTCTAAATGGTTGTGGGCTTCATCAGTAATGTCTGTTGTACATTGCATGGAAGGTATAGTCATCCGACATCCTATAGACATTGAACAATTTCTCAGTATAGCAACCCCTATATATGCGGCATGCGACGAAATATTTGAGGAAATCTGATTGGTTTTCATCCGAGTTCTGTCTTAGCTTCACGATTTTCTCTATGTATGAGAAATCTTCTGTTGCACATCGCAATAAGAAGGGGCAAAGCAAGATATCGCTTGACCAACCTCTTGGATATCAATAATCGAGCTTTTCGGAAACAGAGGGAGGTCTGCTGATTGCAAACATAAGAAGCTTATTATTGTCCATGTTGGGGTTGCTGCTGTTGTTGTTGTCATCCTGCCAGTCTTGATCACTCTTGACTTTGACCATATATTGGACGGATTGGTGGTTTCCCGCAATGAGCTAGCAAATACTATCATAGATTTGCCAGGCCTTGCTTGTTGCGGGTATATCAGGCCACCAAACTTAAATCCTGAAAATCTCCAACATTTAATAACCTAAGTATATGTTGTCTGACAGTGCTCCGTTCCCTGATTTATGCATTCATTTTGAGGGGTAGAATCCTCTTGGATGCTCGTGTCGAACGAGTGTGGTTTCTGATTATGCCACACAGTAATAGGAGTCTTTTGTTCCATTATACTAGCCAGAAGATTTGCATGTTCAATCCCCATCTGCGTTCCAATATATCGCAATTTCTGGACACAAAATGCTCGAACTTCTGGAGTAGAAATGCGCAAGTTGCCCACGAGGAATAGTGGCCAAATAAGAAAATACCCACCAGAAAATCGAACCACTGGGAATTCCTCTCCGAAACCATCCACTTTGAAGCCACTCCAGGGCTGCGTAGGAGTAACGTTTCTCGCAGTGTAGCCCACCTGTTGAGGTACACTTGCTAGGATCTCTGCTTGAAGTTGGTACATAATTTCGGTGCAAATCTGGAATCGCTCTGCATATTCGGGACCGAGTAAGTACGGTGTTGGGGAGGCAAAGTCTTTCAGTAAAACCTCTCTGACTGTTTCATTGAGAAGAATTCTCAATTCCCTTATCGCATTCCAGATCTGAGCCACCCAATGATCGTAGTAGATGTGATAGTAGCCATCGAACACAATATCTGGGTCATCTTCCGTATGAACAGTACTATATTCCCATCCTTTCGGTACATTTGTAGAGAAAGCGAGGAATCTTTCATCCAGAGCCTCAGCTTCAGTAAGAAGGTCATGAGGATCAGTATAGTAGCCTGCATGATATCTTGCATTGAAAGCTGTGTAATCGATCATTGTTCTTTGAGCGACCCAGGCCGGATCAATATTTTTCATATTGTTTTGTGCAAATCCTGACATTTCCACAATATACTTCGGCAATGGTATGTCCCGTTGTATACACGATATCAACAAACTTGAAGTCACTTGAGCCAACAGACGTATGCCTCCATTAGATCTGATAGCTTCCGGACCTCGAAGCTTAATAACGGCCGCGGCACCGTGTACATGCTCGGCCCATGCTTTCATTGATTTTTGGTTGCGACCCGTGATAGTTTCAAAAATACCAAGGATCAATATCGCCAATAGAGTACTGTCTTTTTTGACGGCAGTTGGAGATTGAAGGGCAGTATTGGTGAGATGAAGTGATCTGGCGTATTGTACGCGAGCTTGATTCATAAGATGGGGAGCTTTCGCTGAATGTGAATAGCCGGCCAGGCCAACTGCCTGGACTGCGGCGACAAGATTGTCATCTATACTATCGGACTCGTACAAGTCGGAAATATGGTCTAGATGTCCTCGAGTTGGACCATGATCACCGATTACGTAGTTTGACAGGAAAAATGCGGTAGCCCTATCTTCAATCGATGGCGTTATGTTGAGGTAGTTGACAGATATAACCTGCCTGGGTTGTGGGATTCTTGAAACTATATCACGTGGCGAGATTTCTCGATTTGAAGTCCGGGAAGTGGTGATGGAGTAAGGGGCAGTAGAACTGGGACAGACAGATTCTGAGTTCCTTTGCTTGGCCGCTTTCTCGTGTTTAACCTTTGATTTCTTAATGACGTTGTTGGTCTCCTCCCGGAAGATCAGATCGACTTGAGATCTGTACCCAGGACATTGACGACCGGCATTTTTACATTGAGTACATCCGGTGGGTATAGCATCACACTATAATATAATGGTCAGCAACTCGTTATAATCACAGGAGGGTCTTTGGCATGTGGACGCTGCGCCAAATGAATCAGATTGTAGGCTAACTAACTCTTGTCTTCTTCGCTCGACATGCATGGCATCCTTTGGATGGCCGGCCACAGAAAACCATACTTGAGCCGCTGCGTTGGATTGAGCAGCAAGAATCACGTGTTTGATGCTCCACTGATCCCTTCCGAGGTAAGTATTACCTCTTTTAGGGGGTCAATCTTCTAGAGCAGACTCAAAGGATTGGATATATGGGCCATACGTAGTTACTAAGGTGGATAATATGGGATCGGAGGCAACGCAATGGGATAAATGAGGGGGGGAGCAAACCGTTGGATCACTTTGACTCTTCGCAATGGTGGTCTCAAAGAGGAATGGAAGAAGTGTTGGAAGAGACAATCCTAATATAATAAGGTGGCCAAGAGATCTTCAAATATATTGCTGGAATTGATCCGTCCCATTCTTGATGTCTTGTCGTGTAAATGTAAGCGTATCACGTGAATATAATGTGAAGACGACATCCGATATGACTGGCCGAACGATCTCGCTTGTATTTCCTTTTCGAGGGTATGAGGAAGTTGACCAATGAGCGAGACAGAAAGCTACTAGGTAATTACACAGCGGGTCTAAACGCATTGGCGAAAACCGACAACTTCGTTCTTGGACGAATCTTTTCTGTACACTTCACGGGTCTACTTGCACAGCTCGTTAGGCTACAGTCCAAAGAATTTTGTCATCATCTTCCAAAAGGAACAATTCAGGATAATCTGTGGAAACCAAGCTGGAAGCTAAGTTAATGTATAAAATCCAGCCCTGCGGATAGTCAAAGTGGCTCAGCTAAGTGGAATTTCATTATGACATTGCAACATCTTAATTTCCTAATTAGGCCACCATGAAGTTGGCATCTATGGTACTTCCAATCCCTCATAAATCATTTGTATTCCCATCCCACCATGTTACTGTATACCCAATCCAACTCTTTTCTGGTAACTTCATACATTCAAGTGAACGGTCGTAACATTTCTCTCGGAAATCTTTCAAGCCTCCAGGGCATTCATCCAAGTATTTGTACATGAGGATGGCCTTTTACCTGTACAAAAAATGGAAGGCGACAAGAGAAAACTCTTCGATTCTGTCAGCCCCCTCAACTACAACTCCGAAATCACCTAGTCCCCCGAAACTTTGCAAACACAGAAGCAATCGCTTGGACATAACACCAAAGCATGACTCAGCAATTCTCCCCGGATCTCACTCAAGGAATAGCGATGGTACTGTTAGAGAAGGCGAGAAAAACGAATTACAGACAGGTATATCATATGACGGGCCATGTACTCTCTGCGAAGAAGATAAGAAAGCATTTAGTCGTTATAGGTGGAGATTAACTGCTGGACTTATGTTACCATATATGGTGCAAGCACTAGATCTTACCATTATTGCCGGTGCTTTACCTTTCATTGCTTCGGACTTCAGTATGTCTCTGATTCGCTCTTTTATTCAGCATCTTCAGCTAACAAATTTCAAGACCAACTTTCACAACTCAATTGGATTATCTCCGCGTTCAATCTAACAGCAACAACTTTTATACCCGCTTGGGGTCAACTCGCTGATATATTTGGCCGATATGGAGCTCTCCAGGCAGCCTTGGTTCTCACATTGATCGGAAGTGCCCTTTGTGCCGGCGCGCCTGTAACTGCTTTTACTATGTTACTTTTTGGTCGAGCTCTTCAAGGACTTGGGTGTTCCGGACTCCTAGTCTTGACCAAAGTACTTCTTGCCGATAAAGTGTCTTTGAAGGAAAACGCGAAAAACAACAGCTCATTCGCTATCGTCAGTGGTGTTTCTTACGGAGTGGGACCTGTCATCGGAGGATACTTAACTCAAGTTTCGTGGCGTTGGTGCTTCATCATCAACATTCCAATTGCACTGGTGGGTATGATTGGGGCACATTTTCTTCTTCGACCATTGTTACTTGGGCCTCAGACAATCAGACGAACAGACGATAATACCGAAATGGAAGGTACCCAGACATTCGTGAGAAGACTTTCCACAATCGACTTCGGAGGACAATTCTTGTTTCTCTTTGGAATGGGTCTATTCATTCTCGCCATAACCTGGGCTGGAGCTTACTACCCCTGGTCCGATGTCAAAGTTATCATTCCCCTTGTTCTCGGATCTCTGGTTCTCATCCTATTTCTCGTCTGGGAATACCTTATGATGCCAGGCTCAGCATTAGCAATCCGATACCCCTATCGCCGCGCCATGCTCCCCATCAAGCTGATTTTGAGTCGAAATGCTGGTCTCTTGATGTACATCAATTTTATCACCGGCATGGCAATGTACGCCGTCTTCTACTTCGTCGACCTCTATTTCGCCCTCGTCCTACAATTTTCCCCCGGTGAAGGAGGCAAGAATCTTCTTTACTACATTCCTGGTCTAGGAGGCGGCGTCTACCTTGCTATCTTTACCTGCAATGTATTCCCGCGCCAAACATGGTATCCACTCTTCTTCGGTACCGTCATCGAACCCCTCGGCATCACCATCCTCGCTGCAGCTCTTTCTTGGGGTCATCTCCCCACTATTTACGGCATGCTCGCTTTAACAGGCGTCGGTACTGGGATTCGACTCATGCCTGGTACCCTGCACGCTATAGCTCATTATCCGACCCAAATCGCACCGCTCGTCTCGATGATGTCTCTTTCTTCATCTCTGGGTGGTACACTGGCTCTAACAATCATGCTCAATATCTTCAATAACCATCTCTCCTCAGCTGGTATCTCAGTATCCGGTACCACGACCTCGAGCTTCTCGGGTATATCAACTTTTTCATCATCAGAACAGGATTACGTGAGAGAAATGGCGAAAAAAGGTATAATATTAGCTTTCTATGCTATCTCAGCTTTCTTATGGTTGGGTGTGGGCGCAAGTGTGGGGCTGGGAAATGCGTGGATTGCTAAAGAGGGGGAGGAGGGGGTTGTTAATGCAGATGGGGAAGAAAAGATGGGGAGGACATGCGAGGGAAGTTTTATTGGGAGCTTAGTGAGGAGTAAGGGTGGAGACAAGGAGGCAAAGGGTTAAAGTGGGTGCAAGAATGTTTCTAGAATTGATTCCGGTAGGGTTGGAATTAATACAAGACGCCCCTGATAACGCAAATTGATTCATAAATATAGTACTTGAACGTTCCATTCTCTTTACACACACTCTCTTGAATACCATACTATAATATTCCTATAAATATACAAACAAAAAGATCCAAAACTATTATATAAGACTACCTCAAATGATCAATCTATTCAATGTAAACAAACCCATTCTCATCACCAAAGATTATATTGTTTCCAAATACACAATGAACTTGAATTATCTTTTTATTTTATTCTATTCCATCCCTTTACTCTCTCCACCCCCTTTAAACCATTGTCATTGATAGGCTACGCAGAAATAACCCCTAACCCATAGATAGGTGCTTTAAATCCTTCTTCTCAACTTAGATCATCATCACACCAGGCTTTTTTTTTTTCACCAAGTCATTTTTTGCTTCTTGATCTAAATCATCAATTTATGAGATGTGCAACAAAACTTTTAGGGGGGTGAAACAAAGCTTTCTTGTTGGTTTAAGATTTTCTCCTATTGCTAGTGCTGTATTGACATTATATGGTATCTCTTTTTGTTCTTTCAAATTGCTAGATATGAATAATGGCTCTTCAAATAAAGACTACAAGAATGCTAGTTGAGGATCAAGATATATGTACGATAGACACCAAAATCAACACACCAGTTTGAATTCATGATCTCCAACATCCATCCTAACAAAGCAACTTATAAATCCTTTTCCATCGCGGCCAATCCTTTATCTCTATTTCCCTTCTTTGCCTCCCACTCCTAGCTCCCCTGTACATCATCTCTACATCCATCTCATTCCTTCCCGTTCTCAATTTAATTTAATCTTCCCAATCGCCATCTAACTCGTGCGATACCAAATCTTATATCCCGCATAAAACAAAAACACCACCGGCATCGCCAAATACGCCTCAAAGAAACTGCCAATCTTATCTCCAATCCCCATATTTTGATTCCCCACCGGATCAACAGCTACCCATAATTGCGCTTATGAGAACCAACACTATCATGATGAGACCCATGAACCAATTGTACCCCACTGGAGATTGATAAATGAGAGAATCGATACCATGTCCCTGTTGAGCTCAAGCTTTACGAAATCGGATATGAGAGTAACAGATAGTGCGCCAAGTAAAAAGCGACGATAGTCCCGAGAGAGCCAGCAGCCAAGTAAACGCCGCATTTCAGCAGATGATACGTATAGATAAGCCAGGAGACCAAAAGCAGAAGCGATACCAATGGCAACTAGAGGGCGACCCTTTCGATCAATGTAGGCGAGAGGATGAGGAGCTTGGCCTTGTGCGGCGAGAGAAGCGAGGAGACGGGAGGAACCGAAAACGCAGGTATTGGCGATGGAGAGGACGGCAATTAGGATTACGGCGTTCATGACGAAGTGGAGGCCAGTGATGCCGGCTGACTGGATGGCGAGTATGAAAGGGGAGGCCTTGTTGCTACTAGCGTTTACCGTGGATAACAGGGACAGTGAATTGTAGGGGACGAGGAGGCCAATCATGGTTATGCTTAAGATGTAGAACTAGAGATTGTCAACTCGCGCAATCTTAATTGGGTGAGCTTTGTGATACTCACTAGGCCGATACACCAAAAGACCTGCTTAATGGCTGTGGGTAGAGATTTGCTTGGGCTGTAGGTCTCAGCGGCTGCCCGGCATCGCTACGAAAGTTATCAAAGGCTTTCGTAGGAAACTTTTTCGCCTCCTTGGGCTTCATCAAAAGAGGTACGACAGTCGAGCTTGTGGTGGAGTACACCTCAGGTTTCTAGATGATGTTGAATAAGGAAACCAAACGATGAACTTTCTGGGTCGTCCCATGGGTCTCCATTATATGACCTACCCGTGTGATGTTTATCGGGGATGGATGCACTCGGAACTAACAATCGGATAATACAAACGTGAGACTTGCACCTGATTCACGTATCGGGCGATAAACTTGTATATTAAACCCCTCATTGATTGCTTTTACTCCGTAATCTAGAACATGGGTTTAGCCGGCCTTTCAACCGATTGAGATACGGATAAGTCCTTTTTTGAGGTCAATAATTTGGCCTTGACACCTTGTGTAACGTGGCGCTAAACTATGAATCGCGTTCCAAAACTTGAGAATGTTTCGATGTCCACGAGATGGCCTCATTCTATGCGGAGTACAGACATAATAATGACTTTCTCTCCGATGATTGATTACATTTAATAGATTGAAATTTCCTTTCGAAACCCTGGTAAAGTGGTGCTGTAACAAGCCTCCAACTAGCTCATGAGTTGGGAGTAATGTAAGATACAGATTGATATGAAAGATCACTCGATCAAATGGTTTCAGTGCCCCTGAATTTGCGCATATGTGCCTGCAGAATCGAGAGTGCAGAGTGCAGAGTGTAGCACACGGAATATTGCCATCAATGCTACTCCTCTCCGTTGGTTCTCTAATCAGGGCAGGCAAAGGCAGTGAGTGGTAGAAATGAAAGAAGACATTCCGAGAGAATGGCAAGACTCCCAAAAAAGATATTTCTTAGTTAAGGCATTGATTCCGATGTGCATATGTATTATTGCGACAGGAAGAGTAAACGTCCAAATAGAAGAGCTTGTAAATGACAATTGATAGGTTGAATGCTTTTGACATTTACAACAGACACGCTAAACACTTATAACCCATCTCCTTGAAATCTTCTTATTTAGGAAAGCACTACCGAAGCTAAATACTTTCCCGCCCGTAGGGAATTTATTCGTTCCGACCGCATCTTCTCAAACTTATTATCTTTTACAAAATGTTAATTACAATCTTACAATCTTCTATCTCCTAATACTGTTGATTCGGACTGTGATATCTCTTATCTTTCAACCAAGTCTTATACAATACGAGTACAAGGTCTTCCGAAAGAGCTTTGTAAGATCTTAACCTTACCATTGCGATGGTAATCATAATCCAAGACTCGAAGTCGAGTCTGCAGGGGAAGTTATCTCTGGTGGAATGATTTCGGATTCGCTTCTCATGACTCCATCAATTTGATGAATCCTTGATATCCAGTTGGATGAGTAAAATATTGCCAACTCGTTTCTCGCCGGAAACGGGAAGGAAGTGGGAAAACTTTCTAAACTCTTAGGTCCTGCATTCTCCTTTTACAAACGAGCGGCCATGGGATATGGATGTGTTCATATTTGCATGTGCACGATTTCATTTCCATATCAGTCTTCTGGTAATGCTTTCAATCAACAATTTCGCTAATTAGCATCTACGAGAGCGATGAAAGTTCTTCGACGTTATGCCACAGAAGCACCCGATCAACGTGCTTGGATAGATACCAAACCTAGATTTATTGTTAGCTGGTGGTGTACAAGTTTCGCGATTACTGTAATTTTATTTTGAATCTTCGGACGGTATGTGCGAACACGGAGAGAATCTATCTTGAAGACGACATTATGATGCTGGCTATCATACCCTTGCTCGTGAGGATGGCTTTCGTACATGTTATCTTGATGTTTGGCACCAATAATCTCTGACACTCGGTTTGACATCAGAAGATGTTCGGCAAAGAAGGATTGGGACTCAACTTGTTTTGTTTTCAAGGAGTACGATATTTGAGCGTTTGTCCCAAAACTGTATTGACAACCATACCTAGTCTCTGGGCCATAAAATACAGCATCAGCATATTCTTACGTTCCCTGACCGGACAGATCTGGCAACGGGTTTACTACAATGACTCAGATATCTTCGTGTTATCCTGGCCGTTACCTTCCTCACCACAATCGTGATGTCGCTGAGTGTCATCCATTTACCCATTATTGGCAGGTTGTTCCAGATACTGGTCCAAAATGCCGTCAAGGCTACGCCCAACTCTTCACAGCCGGCATTCTCAACATTTCTACAAATGTGGCATTGATCGTGTTTCCTATTCCAATGATTTTGAAGTCAAATCTGTCAACACATCTCAAATTGAGCGTCATTTTACGTCTAGCTCTAGCTCTCCCAGTTTTATGTATCTTCGCAACAATCGACCAGCTACATAAAGCGGTAGCTCATAAACGGTGATCAACAAAACCGTTCACTCATGGCTTCTTGTATGCTTTAACACCGCCCAATGGCACTAAATCCCAAGCTAACGTAGGTGGCCAAAGTCGACATCCTCCTCGCAACCTTGATCTCCAGTGCCTCGGTAACTGGCTCACTCCTGCAAGACAAAGGGTACAAGAAAACGAAATATAAACCTCCAGTGTACCGCGACATTCCCTCTAATGCTCCCTCTACACGCTATACCCGCAGACTTGGCAGTGATGAGGATCTGATGATCACCAGTATTGATCCAGATGGAAAGCATGCTATGATGATTCCGTTAGATGTTTTACATGACACGGTGAGTAGAGAGAATGACGAAGCCAGGGAGTTCGGTGCAGGAGGGGGGGATAATGGTTTGAGGAAACCCGAACATGTCTGGGCTGGTGTTCAAATTAGGGTGGAGCGGGCATGGGATGTACAGGTTACAAAAAAAGAGGTTCCTGGGAGCGCCTAGGCGAATGAATAAAGGTTTTGTATAGTACTTCGGTTTCGATGTATCATCAGCTTTGAGGTGTTGGTTGTGCTGTTGTATAACTCCTTGTCTTATATATCCTCTGATATTATACAGTATGAAGCATGATATTTGATTTTCTGAATCTGATAATCTAATGGATACGTGAGATTGAGAGCATTTTGAGATTGTGCTAGGGGCGATATCGGATGATTTCCAGCGACTGCAAAATGTGCTCCCGGTGAGCTTTTTAGAATCTTTAATGTGATTGTACAGACTAACCTTGTGAGGACTAGGGATTATAATACTTCTGTACGGAAATCTTCCTTAGAAACATATTGAAAATTGCAAATATTTATTTCTCGAGATTATTATTGAGGACTGGGTCGATGATTTGATGACCTGTACCCTGCAGCTTGGACGTCACAAGGGATCCTTGAGCTTCCCCACTAACACTATCCCCCAGCCAAAATCATTTGAAGTTGGTTGGCCCACCTACGAGTTAGCTTTTTATCTTGATGATTTAGATACCGGCAATTTTGCGAGAAAGCATTGGATAATTGATATTGAATATCCAGGAAAACCCTATTTTTTCGATCATTTTATTGAATCGTTACACCTCCCTCAGTCCACAGTAATCAGTCTTCAATATGTCGTCTTCTTACGCTATGAAGTCAATGGGCGCCAAAGGTCAGACAAAACCCCCTCCAGACAAACTTCCCTAATCCCTCGGCCTCTTGCGCCCAGTTTGATGTATCATACTCACAGAATAAACAGCCTTCAATCATTCCACTTCCAATGACGCTGAAGCCGAATACGATCGACTACGTGACCTCGCTCACAAAGAAGCCTCGAAGCGCTCTCAATGTTTCGATCAGGCGCATCAAGCCTACACATCTGGCGATGGAGCCAAAGCTCACGACCTGAGTGCCGAAGGAAAGAAACACGCGGCGCAAATGGACACATATAATAAACAAGCTTCGGACTACATATTCCGAGAGAACAATGCCACAGGCAGAGTAGGAGACGATGAAATCGATTTGCACGGCCAATATGTTGAAGAAGCGGAACGTATTGTGGAAGAGAGAATCAGATATGCGCGACAACAGGGTCAATCGCATCTACACGTTATAGTGGGAAAGGGCAATCATAGCAAGGATCATGTGCAGAAGATCAAGCCGAAGGTGGAGGAGATTTGTAGGGAGCTGGGTTTGCAGTATGCGACGGAAGAGAATGCGGGGAGGATGTATATCAATCTTCAAGGCGGTGCTGCTGTTATTCCACCAAGTGGAGGGAGTCATGGAGGGGGGCAACAACATCATGGTGGTCAGCAACAGGGGGGACATCAACAACCATCTTATCAGCAGCCTCAGCAAGGGTATCAACAGCCTCAACAGAGTGGGCATCAACAAGGAGGATATCAGCAGGGTGGTCAACAACAGCAGCAACCGCAACAACAGAACAACAACGACAACAATAATGACGAATTGGAGAAATTGGCTCGGAAGTTTCTCCCAAGAATATTACGGAAAGCAGAAAAGGCTTGCTGCGCAGTTATGTGAATATTTGGATTACACATTGGGTTCATTTGCAGTTCATTTGGTTACGATTTTACATTCATGGTGTTTTTTTAGACATACCCTGGGTTCTCAAGGGATTTTATTAGGGACTCGATATCGTCGGCGATTTGAAGAGATGAGATGAGATGCTTTAATGTTAGATGCTTATATATAATACTTGGATGGAAGATCACGATTTCATGATAAATTAGATGAATGAGAGTTTTTGACATCATTAAATTAAGGTTGACATGACGGCTCCGCTAGGCCACTGCCGTGGAGGCCTTTTTCGCTTCGCTCTTGAATTGAAATTTAGCGAAGTAGAAATAGAAATAGAAAATTTGATTAGATATATTTTCTACTCTAGTACAATATAAAGAGTAATTATACAGTATTATAACATCGCTATATAAAAATATCTTAACATATCTGAATTTGATTAATTATGATTATAATACTAAACATATATTATTTTCTAATCATCTACTTATCTAATAGATGAGATGGGTCAATCATCTGATCATCGGTTAAATTCCGGCAAGAAGCCACTTAACTAAATAAATCTCTTTTCCTGCACACCAATCTGCTCTTCCCTTTAATGCAGCCTGGTAAATCCCCACCATCCGTAATCGGCCTGAATCGTAAGGAAGAGCGACACCGGACAGCCATTGACTCATTGCACAACGCAGAGGTGCCGATAGTCCCTTCAACTTCCCGTCGCAGATAGGAACTGCGGCTCAGTTATCCGATACAGGATTATTGCGCATGGAGCCTTCACATGGGATCGTGGGCGGGGCCTCCGCTTCCAGTCCAACCACAAGCGTTCGGCCAGGTACAGGAGGGGCGTCAATAAACGCAGCAGGAGTGGTGCAGGTTTCGACAGCAGTCCTGGAACTGGAAACGAACAAGAAGATGAGGAGGCAGAGAGAAGAAGACAGCCAGGTGTAAAGAGAGCTTGTAACGAATGTCGTCAACAGAAAGTGAGTCAATATTCTTGCAGATGAATATACTCGCGGTGCCACTATGCAACATTAAATCTATTCAATTGCTGGCCAAAACCTTCAATTGCTAATCTTCATCAATCCCAGCTTCGATGCGATGTCGTCCAAGACCCATTCACCACCTGCTCTCGGTGTCTTCGATTAAAGCTCGATTGTAAGATTGAGACGAACTTTAAACGAGTTGGCAAACGAAGCAAACATGTGGAAATGGAGAAGCAAATTGAAAGACTTCAACGAACAGTAACTCGTGCTCAGCAAGCAGGTCTCATTCCCGATGAAGAAGACGAACAATCTCCAATTGCGAATAGCGTATATCAACATTCGAGAAATCAATCATACATAGGATCGGAAGAAGCTGTATCATCATTACTTCATCTCAAGCAAGGAGGTTCTTACAATTTACCACAATATGCGCGACAAATTGAGAATGTGGGCTTGACGGAGGATGCCATTAATCATCTGTTCAACGAATTTTTCGTTTGGTACCACCCATACCTTCCGTTTCTTAGCACGGAACAAGCCTCCGCCCAATACTACCAACAAGACCCTCTGCTTTTCTGGGTCATCATTACTGTCGCGGCACGTCGATATTCTGCAGACCCTAATTTGTTGACCAACCTTCAGGGCCCTGTCACCAGGCTATTGTGGGCGAAGGTGGGTGAGGTGCCTAACAATTACCATATTGTTAAAGCATTGATTCTGTTATGTACTTGGCCATTGCCTATAAGTACAACCTCGTCGGATATCACGCATATATTATGTGGTGTAATGATGAAAGCTGCCACCGGCATTGGACTTCATCGACCAAATCATACTCAAGATTTCTCCCGAGTATCTGTTGATCTCAACAGAGAGCAGTTGCATGATAGAGTAGTAACGTGGGCGGTCTGCAATATTGTAGCACAGAGTACTGCCACTGGATATGGGCAACCGGCGTCAACGTTATATGATTGGACGCTTGCAATACGACCTGGAGAAGAGGGACCCTTTACGATTTCGCCAGAGCTTTCAAGTCGCCTTACAATCGAGAGATTTTGCGATAAAGTCTCGAAAGAAATGTACAGCAACGCTAACGATCCTAGGGGTGTTGCTGGTGATGAGAACAGAGCTTTATTGACTCGGGTATATCGCCGGGAATATGAAGAGATTCGGGTAGCAATCCTCTCGAGACAAAGTTTGTCACCAATTGTTGATCTTCACCTTCGTGCTGCTGGATTGCATCTTCGCCTCTCGGCTTTCTTTGATTCGAGTACCACACATGGATACTTGGACGATTTGATGGGCTTATCGCGAGCTACTACTCAGTTTTTAGATCTTGTTTTCGAGCTTGAGACTCCCTCGGCCGACAATGTTACTGGTGGTATCCTTCGCTTTGCCACAGGCTACATATTGCAAATGATCATTGCTGCTTGTTTTTCATTACTCAAGCTACTTAGTTCATTCTTCGCCAAGATCATGGATTTTAATCGTGGCCGTCAATTGTTCCATCGTACCATTTCAGCCATCAGAACCATGAGCATCATGAACAATGACTTACCTTGGAGACTCGCTGAACTCATGGTCCAGATGTACAATGGAGCTCGAGTCGAACAGCGGCAAATAGCCCAAATGGAAAATGGCAACGAAGTGGATCCCTGCTCCGTTGTCATAGATGACAGTCTGCAATTGAAAGTCAGATGCAGGATGAGCATGAGCCTGGTATTTGATTCGATATGGAGATGGAGAGAGGAATTCCAGACTCAGGGTCGAAGTATTGAAGGTCGGTGATTTTCCGTTCCTTTTTGCATGCCCTTATTCTTAGAATATCACCAACTAAAAACTCAACACAGCAGCGTTGCGAAATCCGACCAATCCTGATAGTGCCAACGAATCTTCTGCCTCGTCGACTCACCTGGATAGCAATCTTCTTCCATCTCATCAGATACAGAATCACCTCCTCGTTGCAGCTGACGCCGTTGCTCCCAACGATGCCATGATTGGTGCTAACAGCATGCTTGGCGGAAATTTCAATCATAACGAAACGAATTACGAAGTTTTCGATCCGTTAAATTGGATGCTGGATGGATTGGTCGATTTTCCCTACAGCTACAATGCTGTTCAAGGACTTGAAGCCAATATTTTAAGTTAAAAGTCAGAAAAGCTTCCACTACCACGCTACCTTCGTTCTACCCGAAGATCATGTTCCCATAGTTCTCGTCCTAAATAGCACCGACGAAACTATGGACCAAACATCTGAGAAAATTGCACAAGAATCTGAAGTCCGGACCACCTAACTTAATATCATTTAGCAGCCACTCAAAATTAGCTCTCAGTATAGAGTTCTTACTTACCACAACATAGCTTTCCATAACCTACCTTCATATATTTATTTTTACGAACTTTACGAATAATTCACTACGCGTTTGACGGTGGACAAAATACATCCTTTGATGAGATTTCTTTCTCTTCTTAATCAACTCGGCTCGTTTTACTACATGTGAAACTTTGCCTGGTCGCAAAACCTTTACTTTAATTTCTATACAACTTCGATCTTATCTTAGTCCTCCTGCCCGAGTGTGTCACTAGTACGAGAGGATACATAGGTCGAAGCAACTATCCTTAATTATATCTCTTCCTTTGGGCGGAGTTGAGATGGTGGATGAAATGGAGCTTTAGAGGAAAACTTTGCTTTTCAAAGATGGAAAGGAAAGGGGATTTGCAATTATTGCAATTACTCTTTGGGGTGGATGGGTGGCTGATACATTTGGGCTGGGTGGTGGGTCCGTTGGCGCTGGTTGGATACTAGGGATTGATTAGTAATATTTGAATGATAATGGTGGTTATTTGGGAAGACGGTAAGACCCGATGGAAAATTGCGGAATGGGTAGTACAGCGGAAAGTTGAATGTGAGTGAACTGGTCTACTGGATTTGGCTAATAAGAGATGATAGATGGGTAGAGAGTTGACGTTGATCGTAGTTTGAATAGTAGATAGGAAAAACAATAAAAGCGATGAAATTGGAATAAATTGAGGGAATAATTAATAATGTTGTGATGGTCTTGGTGATGGGTCTGCGTGTTGCTGTGAGTTCTGTCATATATTGCTTTGGTTTCTCTACACTCTCTCTTCATGCATATCTCGCCAGTGCGAGGAAAACCAAGTTGATGATAAGAATAGTTCGACATTTTCATACGCTCATTTCAGCATTGAGCATGTCGAAATAAAAGCAACATGTAGAAACTGATTGTGGGATCCGGCAAGGCTGATGGATATTGGACACTCTGGGCATCGGATCCTTCCAAGTGGATATTGTGTAGCAATGATATTCGAAGTAGTTCGGATCAATAATTACCCCGGACGTCTTAGCTCGTTGCATATTTCGTATCCCCATCAGTAGAAGGCCAGCCTCAAGTACTCGGGCGGGTCTTTGAAGAGGGATACGCAAAATAACCGAATTTGCCCCTTCAAAATATGATTTCTTTTAATATTCAAGAAAATAATAGGAATTTCACAAAAACAAAGTTATTAATCGGAAATTTAAAGCTGATTTTATTATAATTAAAAAGGTTTTATTCAAAATCTTTATATAAATAATTTATTTTGATTAAAAGAATAAAAAGCCTAAAATTTCGATATCTTTTATTTAAATCTATTATTATTAACTCAAAACAGATTACATCATAATAAAATTTTATCTATAAGTTTAAATTTAATCAATGAATAATAGATTAAAATTTCATATAATTATATAAAGAATTAAGCTAGCAATAGGTATTTTGATTTTGCGTATCCCTCTTCAAAGACCCGCCCGAGTAAGGATATGTTTATATCTATATTGTGACCAAAAGGGTATAAACAGGACTCCGATTGTGTACTTAGAATCTACAAGTGAAGAGCTATGTAGGATGCTAAAAGGAGGACTATATATACAGGTATTGGGAGCCATAAGGGCTAGGCCCAAAAGGGTGAAAGGGTCCTAGGCGTAAGATGCCTAGGTCTAGAGCTATAGAGCTAGGGCTCTAAGCTGTGAAAGGAAGGTCCAAAAGAGCCGTCCTATCATACTACATATGTAGTATGAGCCAGTGGGCGGAAGAGAACCGTCTGTTCCGTCACATATATCTCCTCTTATCATCCCCGCCTTAGATTTAATCGAAAAGGGTAACTAACACGGATTACTGTAGACATTGGCTAGGGCTGACTGAATGCTTTTGGGTTGAGGCCGTGATTGGGTGCTTACTGTACCGATAACTTACAGCCAATGGTGGCGATTGATGGTACAACTAAAGTCTTATACCGCTATTTTGACGTTTGATTTTGAATCTCCCAGAACGTTCTTTGATTTTGACATCGATAAAAATACTTGTTACTAGATTCGTGGCTGAATACCAAAGTTATTATTGCTGCGCTAGCCTTACATAGTAGTTTTCACGGTGACCACGAGCTAGATTGTACGACCTGCATGACCTGCACGGGCTAACAACGGAACATTATTTGCACAAGTCCCTTTCGTGAAGAACAATACTTACACATATCTATATACGGATCTCTGGCAATTAGTGATTCATTTGGACAACAGACAGGGTCTTCGACTTTGTTACTCGACTCGTCTGCTAAGAATCATAGTTTACTCAAACAGCGGCTCGAGTACTAGTCAAACTAGATATCTGATGCCCTGCCCGCTATCCGCTACCAATTATCGCAGGAGGATAGACCTTGTCCGTTTTATCCGAGAGAAAACTTAATGTGTGGTCCTGGCTGCATGTCGAAAACGCACGTCAGACTTTGAGTCGCCTGTGACGCCTGTTCGATAGCCAAAGTGAAATGCGACAAGAAGCAGCCTGCCTGTGATCGATGTCGAGCTAATGGCTTCAATTGCTCTTACAGTCCATCTCGACGCCATGGAAAGCACCCATGGGCGAAAAGGTCTGCTGAGCTTGATTTGACATCGCTGCCACGGAGACCTCCGACCACCGCAACCAGTAGGAGTTCCAATCCTAGTCTTGGGTTAACAATGATGGATGTGGACAATACCAGTGTAAATAGAGACATACAATGTGTTGATGACCTGTCAGCGTTTGATCCTTTTGGCATGCCAATAGACGGAGACAATTTCAGCCTCTTCTCTCCTTCGCGTTCTTACTGGGCAATGGGAGTAGATCCAGAGGTTGGTTTAAACATGCATCTGCACATCCCCAATGACTCCGGCACTTTAGATACCCAAATCTATGACAACAGCACAAAAGCAGGCACTGGTAGTTCTAGCGCCTCCAACAGCATCTGGAATGCTGAAGGTACATCTAGTGCAACGACTCCTGCCTCCACCTTCCACTTCAAGCCTCCCAGATCTCAACTCCACGATTGCGAAGCAAAGGGATTGCCGCCCTTTATTCTCTTCACCGCTGCACGATTCTACACACGGACCGCCCCAACGTGATTCAAAAGAGGGCTACGAAGTGCCACTAATTGACAAAGTTCTTCACTTTAACAGGGTCGCTATCAGTACTGTAAAAGAAATCCTCGAGTGTGCTTGCGCGCAGCAACAACACGTTGCCCTTCTCTGCATGACGATATCAACAAAAGCCCTATACTGGTATCGGTTAGCCGGTTCGCCTCAATATCAGGCAAGCATGACGCCAGACTCGCCAAATCATAGTAGCTCCAACAGTGGTCGTCCTTCCATTCCTAGCGTGCTATCATCCCGTGGGGTCGAATCAATACCAATTCAGATCGGCGTGTTTGATCTTGAAGAAGAGAATCAGAGGCTCTTGATAAGGGGTGTCTTGTTAAGAGAAGTACGCAAGCTGGAGGGTATCGTTGAGAAAATGCAAATGTTGAGCGATGAACACAGGAGAGATGACGATACTGCTGATGGGTATCGTGTGTCGAATTGGTCTGGAATTACATGGCCCTTGATGAAAGCAGAAGTTCAAGATACTCTTCAGCAGATTAAGGAGTTTGGCGCATGCGGTACCACCGATTGGAATGATAAATACAATGCTTATGTGGTAAATCTTGTCATCTGTCTACAAATAATGGAACATGACCTTTGAAACCTGTTCCGGATTGTATTCTAGCTATCCTTATTAACCCAGGAAATCTTTTGATCTATCAAATCGTTCTTTCATACTACCATGCGCATTTTCAACTGATATCCGTTGACAATCGCATCCTTTTTACCCTCTAACTCCTCGACATCCCAATTAGCGCTCAAGTACCTCCCACTCAACCACTCCCGTCGCTCCTTGACCAACCAAAGCAAAAACGAACCACAAAGTCCAACGTCATCGACGGCCATGGTCGACCGTCAGGTGCCATGCCAATAGGAGGCATAGTCGCAACAATACCTGGATGAACAGCATAGGCCAGCATACCTTCACCACCATATGACTCGGTTACTGCCTCGGTCAATCTGTTAAGTGCCAATTCTGAGATATTGTACCCGATTGAACCCATACTCGCAAAATGCGCCATACCACTCGTAATATTTATGATGGTCTTTTTCCCACTCTCACTAATCAATATCAACGGCAGAAGAGCCTTGATGAGTGCAAATTTCCCAATGTAGTTGACTTCCATCGTCTTCTGAATTTGATCAATATCAATGCCAATCAGCTTATTAAAAGCAGACTCGTGCGTGCTAACAATTGCACTATTATTGATAAGCAGATCCAGACAACCATAAATAGAAGTGATGGTATCGGCAACAAGCTTTGCAGAAGAAGGATCCCCCAAGTCGGCAGCTAGGGCGGTGACTTTGAGGTCTGGAGAAGAAGCGGCGGCCTCGACTTGGATTTTTGTTTCTAGGAGGTGAAGGGATTTGGTGCTACCGGTTATGATGATTCCGGTTGCACCGGCTTGGGCAAAGGCTTTGGCTGTTGCAGCACCGATGTTCCAACTGCCTCCAATGATGGCGACGACGAAGGGGGTGGGAGTTTCTGAGTCGATGGGTGGAGTGTTGCTGGAGGAATGCTGTGGAGCTTGCTAGTAAAGTTCATTCCGGTCCATGGTGCCCATGTTGCGCAGCTGGAAACCGGCAAATAAGTCCGCCGAATATTCGCGAAGCGAGAAGCCCTCGTCGGTCAGCGCGAATTACCGATCAGTAAGCGTCAAGCGAGCTGCCTAACTGAATGCTTGCTTACCAAACCAAAGAAACCACTTGTCGGGAACTAGCTCCCATACTTTTTGCAAGAAGCTTCGCTTTTTTCTTTAGCTTCCACTGGCGTCATTAAATACTTTATTAAAAGTATAACCTTTAAATACAGTTATTTCATAACCGTTATTCTTGGCAAATTTCAATTCTTCACTTCGCTTCTGATTCGAATTCAGAAAACCCTCGCCCTAAGACTGCTCTTTTATAACTAGAAACATATAGTATCGTTATTAGTTGTCTCATGGCGACGAAAATTAAACTATTGGGCTACTGTCTACAGTATCCACCATCCCAAACTTGATTCCCTCCAGACACAAACACAAACTTAACGCAACCACCTGCGTCATGCTTACGCTCTACTTAACCCTCATTCAGAAGGCTGACACTGTAAATAACCACCAAAAGTCTCCTGGTTCCAGTACTGAAATGGGAGAGGCCCGTTCCGAATTAATACGTTATACCGACAAAGAATCACATCTGTCAGCCTCAACCCATGAGGCCGATGATGTGGTTCTAGTCAAAAGTTATAGTTCTTGTTTATATACATTGCTCTTATCCTTGCTATCCTCTGCAAAGCACTCAAAAACAGTATCAATGTCATTGCAATTCCTTTCATTACAGATGATTACAAAACTCTATATGATGTTGGGTGGTGAGTGCAGTCTCTCGCTGTTAAACATATAAATTGATTCTTATTTCCATTATATTAGGTATTGGCTCTGCCTTCAACCTCCCTGCTGCTGGCTGCACTTACCTCATTTGGCAAATCTATGCAACATCCTCCACCAAATAAACTTTTCTCGCCGTCTTCTTTATTTTCGAAGCTGGCTCCCTAATTTCGACTGTAGCTCCTATCTATATTTTTTTCGTTGTCGGTATGAGAATGCCTGCGGAGTTCTAACTCTAATCTATTTCTTTCTATGGTCTAAATGAAAATAAAAGACTCCGAAACAAGAATATGTAAGAAAGTCAAGACACCAATAATACAACAAGTTGAGGAAACCAACGAAGAAATAAACCTTAATCGGCTTGAACAAGTTAAACCTCCTGAAGGGATCATGAGTTTTCAATTCCCTCAATCTTCGCAATCGCTATGTCATCAAGGAGACTAACGTGCGTCTGCTTGACGCTAATTAGTTTAAGTGCATTGGTAATTAATTCGCATTTGCATATCTAAAACGCCTCCCAGAATATCTATCCTGAAGAGAAACAGTCTATTTATGAGTGCAGTCGGCCCAACAAATATCACTATTAGTGAACAGCCTGGTACCTTGGAGAGCTTCGTGAGCTCTACTCCGTCAAAGGCTCATTACTTGCACATTGAGATCCCATACCATGCACCTCATCTCTATAGATCTGAAGATGTAGATCAGATACTAGGAAAGCCTATACATGAAAAACTCAAGTCATACACACAGCGGATTTCCATCTTATTATTATTATTCTCTGAGACTTGAGCCGAAGAGGGCAGTTTTCAAAGATTTTACGTCAAGCTATCTATGATACGCTCGGTGGGTAAGTTTGCTGAGATAATATCCTTTCTAGTTGTGCACGCTTAATATCACATGACCATTTCTGCGAGGGGTACATTGTTCTACCTTGGGCTTTGAATAGCGTTATGCCACCACATTTTTGTCGTCGAATTTGAGATCAATTAAAGAGGGAGTTTGTATTCCCATCGCTCAACAACGAAACAACCCATACCGAGTACCCTACAATTGCAAATTAGCACTCGCCACATCCATATCCATATCCATATCCATCACCATCTCAAATCCCTCCATACTGTATCCCCCCTCAAAATACAAACCAACCACCGTGACCTTCCCCATCAAGATAACCCCGACTGGACCTAGCCAGACCCATATATTCCCAATCCATATCACCGAGTACATATGGAGATTCCCTCATTTTAATCATTACACCCCACCCCAGCCCTAACATTTCCATTTCCATTTCTCTCCTAGCTCCTAGCTCCTAGCTCCCCAATACATTCCACCCCAATTACCAATCCCCCCGAATCACAATGTTAAATTACCGATCACACCTCACATCAATACCACTTGCACATAACCCACTCTATATCCCTCATCCCCGATCCATACATCCGTCCATACAACCAGTCAACCAACCAACCAAGTAATCCCCCCCCTCCCCCCAAATTTCTAGATCTACTAATGCCAATCCCGCTCGTCCTAGCAAATCACAATTCTTACCAATTCCCCGGAATTATGCACATCTTCCATCTATCTCTCATGAATCATGAATCATGCTATCTACCGTATCTAGGTATCTACATCCAGATCTTGCAGCCTTCCAGCTTGATCCAACTGTGAATGAGATGAGATAATATCCTATCCCAGTATTAGTACCGTATTTAAACTTTCTAACTAATAACAATAGTTGAATCTAGATGGATTAGGTAATTGTGAAATATATGAGATCAGCCTGAGATTAGTATTGGTATTATAATTATCATATATGAAGGATTCGAAAAGACTAGTAGTACTAGACTGCGTCTAGATGCGCCGCTAGCCAACCCTATGGATGTCGTATTACATATATGTGTGTAGTGTAATGTGTAGCGTTTTTGGATGGATCATACATGAGAGTAAGGCGAGGTGAAAGTAAGGGAAGAGACGAGGTGGTGTGAAGTGGGGGGAGAGAAGAGGGGAAACAAAAAGATGAGAAGCGATTTACCTTGCTGGTTCACGTCACGGTTTCATGGAATATACAATATTAAAATTTACAATGTAACCAGGTTTTCAGAGTTAGCATTATCATTGGCCACAGTGAGTGTGGTGAGCGGATAGTATGTAATGCAATGTGATCTTGTGTACCGGTATATTATAATTGTAAGGCTGGGAAATTGAGAGACTGCCAGACTGGAGATAGAATATGCAGTTTAAGGAGATGATTAAGGGGTGGTGTGGTGTCACGGTATTGAATCGGTAGACCTTGGTTCTACTCGAGTACCGGTAAGTCATCATTTGATGTGATATTCGTGGAGAACTTAATTCTGGGTCAATATGCTAGTGAATGAGAGTTTTGCTACTAGGCCATGATACGATACCAGCGATGGTAGTCTAAGTATCAATGTGTGATAACAAAACAAAATCTAGATCTGAATGAGGAAACTAAAAGTAGCAAGATAAAGTCCTTGGATGAGTAAGACATTTCATTCATTATAAGCCAAAGAATTATATACCATTCTGAGCTGGAATTTTAAGGCGGAAGGGATGTATGTGCGATGTATTATTATTAAGATGCGATCCCATACTACTTACTTACTTTGCTAGCTCAATAACCATTTCTGAGTTGAAGATGGAAAGATCTATCATCTCATATCATCTAACTAGATGTATGAGATATATTAACCACCCCTCAAACACTAGTAAGAATCTCCCCATCCCACAACGACTACTATCTCGCAACGATCATAACCAATATCCATTATCCATTATCCAATCCTCTTACCCCAAGACAAATAGCAAATAGTCATCAACTATAAAACTATAAACCTCTTCAATCCTCAATCCTATCATATCACCAAGACAACCTAACTCATGCGCAGGAACAAGACAAGCCAAAAAATAATAATAAAACCATCATAGCACAGTCTCACCATCCCTCCCCATCATATCCTATCCCATCCTATCCCATCCCATCCTATCCTCCATAGACCTAGCTAGACCGCACACAAAAACCTTCCTTTAATAATTTCCAAATCACATATATCATCTCACCCACCCTCACCCACCCCAACCTAGCACAAAAACAAAACCATCGCAAACACAAACTCACGCGCGATACGAAAACGACATCAAAACATATAACAAAACATTCGTCAAAAGTGGACCCGAAACCAGGTCTAAAAGTCAAGCGCTTGCTTGCTTGCTTGCTTACTTTCATTTCTGCTTCTGCCTCAAAGGATTCATTTTGCGCGTCGAGTTATCCCAAGCATGTTTCTCCATCACTTGATTTATTTCATAACATATGTACCATGCTATACTTTTTTGTTGTTTGTGTGAAAGTCTTGCTGTTGTGGATGTGTGTAGAGTGGTGTAGGGGAGAGGAGGATAAGGGAGGGGAGAGGAGAATAAGGAAGAGTATAAATGTTGATTGGGATTACTCGAGTATATATGTAATGTACTCGGGTATATGTTAGGTATTGCAATTAATGGGATAACGTACAATAACTGTTGGTTTTTATCTATTGCGCTTATTTAATGTTAGTTTTGTTGTACCGGAATTGTATTGTGTAGTTGTGTTGTTGTTTCTGGGGAAGGTGGGGTGGAGTGAGAGCTTGGACTTCGACTTACTATTTTGAAGGATGGAAGGATGGAAAGATGGACCATGTTGCCATGTGAAGCTATTTTGAGATATTTTAGGTAGTGGAGTATAGTGGGGAGATATAATACTACTCACTTGAGTAGAATTGTGAATGATGCATGTAGCGACGGCGGCATGATTAATATTGGTTGTAGAGCGGGTTGAAGTGAAGGTTCTGACAGATTTAAGGATCATGAAGGTTCGAGCTAGTTGTACTCGTATGTACTCGAGTAATGATGGAAATGGTTTTGATTGAATTGATTCGTTGAGTAAACGATGGCGAATTTTAACGGAAGGAATACGTTGTACTGAGTATTAATATATTGTTTGCGACACAATACTGAGTTGAAAGTATGGAATGGGGAATATTCTATGGTGAAGACATAATTGTCTCGAATGATTGTCAGCGAGTTTAATCTTTCAATCTGAATGTGAAGGTTATTTGAAGCTTAATGGTGCGTGAACCTAGAAGGAATCCTTCAAACGCAGATTATCATGGTATTATGACGTTGATCCCATTTGGGGGCCCGATCAAATAGATTAGCAGCAGACCGCAAAGTTGTCGGCACAGTTCCTTTGGGAGAGAAACTCTATTGCAAGGCATGATAGAGATCTGAGGGTGTGCTGTTGTTGGCTGTGGTCAAAAGGTAGACGGAACAATCAAGCTATTTTGTGATATGGTTGTGAAATAGGTTTGGTGGATTGCATGAGGTGGGTGACTTGCAGTTACGAAACATCTCTCTCGTTCTGAAGGGTGTGACGATGGATGATGTAACGATAGAGAGGTCATTTCCCTGGACATTTGTGTTGCAATCGATAGAGTGTAGATCCACCTTTGTGGTAACGTTAAGGATCAGTCCTCACAGTGTGAATGTATTCTTGTTTGCATCATTTTTATTCCATCATTGAAACCAGTGTCTTGAAAAGGGTGTCTCGGGCTCGTATTTGTGATCTGAGTGTATGAATGCTTGGAGTACACATTTTTGGAAAACAAAGTACAAACACGATCAACTTTAAGAAAGTTTATAAACATCAACGAAAGAATTGTTCAGGACGACTCTCGTGGCAGTGTTGATGACTGTTTTCTGTCAGCTCATCCACCCTGAAAGCTCAAGATGAATAATATTATTGGAAAATACAAGTTCGTAGATCCACCATGTAACTGAGCATCAAAACACGTTCTGTGGGGGAGGGGGTGGCACAAAAAAGAATGTAATCTTGGACTTTAATGTGCCCTATGCATACAGTAGCTTCGAAAGTGTCTCCTATTCAATATTACTTACCACGCCACTATCCTGGTCTAAAAGCTCTATCACAGATCACTGCCAAGGTTCTCAACAGGAACTCCTGTCACAGGTTTATGGCACGCTTGCTAAGCGCAGTTCAAAATCTGGGGGCCGTGAAGCCACTCGTATCTCAGCTCATGCTGTATGTGGTTAACTCCATTGATAAGATGATTCATGGCCAGGGTCAATGGTTACTTTGGTTTGCTTTAGGAATGCATACTGTCACCTCCCTCAGAGAAAACTTTAAATCCTTCGCAGAAATGAGCATTTCAAGGTGTTCATTCGTTATTCGTGGATGAATGTATTAATCAGATTCCTAATCCGAAGCTAACAATCTGCCGGCCGATTCTTTCGTCAACGCAGCCTTATGATGAGATTTACGCCCAGCTGTAGCTAAGATGGAAGATGCATCATGTTTTTATCTCGCATCAAACTGGTTGGTGATTAAGCTTTTCCGTCAGAGCCGTGAACATTTATCCCATTCCGACAGAGTGGTACAGCCGAAAACTCAAGCCTTCTTTGAGTGTGCATACGGAGTACTGAGGGTACTACCTAACCAAAGCGTTTATTAAATGGCTGATTTCAACCCAGGCTTTATTGGAGATACTGGCGGTGTAGCATCTATGCATCAATGTCCGTAATTGAACGAGTGATAATGTCTGGAATCCTGCGAACCAAGGAGCCGGGTTAATCTGTCTTCTTTTAGAGTCGTTTTCACCTGCTCAGAAGTATCTCCGTGCAAGTACAGGTACAAGTAGTATTGCCTAATTTAAAGCAAAACAACGGGCTATATTAGATGTCCGTTCACAGTCAAGGATACAGATGGGTTTAGCTCACATCTCTCCACCCCCTAGGATTATCGGCAGAACGATTTTTTTCGTTTTGCTCTCTCTTATTCGTTTGAAAATTACGAACCGAAATCCCTTTGATAAAACTAGGATAACTCCAATCTTATGACCCCCTGCTGAACAGGACGAATCCTCATTGATGAGCATCTATTGCATTGTGTTGCGTTGCGTTGACAATCGATAAATTATTCATGGCTGGGTTGTGAAGAGTCGAAAATCGAGTTTCTGATGTTTCTTTAGGTTAGGTACCCAGCAGTCCTTGATTTAGACATTATTTCTCAGGTGATTAACAACTGTTGTATACGTGGCTGCGCATAGCAGTCCACACACATTTTTCTTCCACTGGGAACAAGGTGTGGTGGATATTTTCCCTTATGCTCAAGCCCCCAGTTTCTCCCCGCCACTATATTACAGTGGACAAGGCCGTTAAATGTTACATTCGGCAAGAAATTAGCAGTGAACTTCCCTTCGTGTCCATGCTCTATTTTGTATGCCATTTCGGTACCTTCCACACTGCAGTGTCCGGGCCGTTGAATTCAAGGTTGTTTTGTGTGGCGAGGAGCAGATTGCAGATCGATAATGTATTAAGAGTTATGATTGGAAGGATAGAAGAAGAATGAAACCAGGATTTATCTGTCCTCGCTAGCAGGATTCATGGTCAGTGAATGCAGATAAAATTGACCCTATATACCCTCTATACCCTCCATCCCCTCTATATCTTCCATCCCCTCCATCCCCTCCATCATATTGATTAGATTAGAAAATCACAATGAGGTCTTTTGAAAATCGCAATTCGGATCCGAGTTCATTGGCCTACAGCAGCCTTCAGTTGGCGCTGATTCCAAAATGTAGAATAATTACGATGTACCGGTATGTGTGTGCCTGTATCGTTACCGACAGCTTGGTTCAGTCTAGCAGGGGTAACAAAAGGTGTGCTGTCTCAACCATAAAAATTAGACCATGAGGCCGAGTAGATTTGCCGGTTTATAACGAAGTAATCATTAAACCCTTTCCAGCATCCTGTGCAATTTCACCTGGGATTTATTGGAATCATCAATCTTTCACCCCTGATAGAAATTCGTATTATGCTTACGTTCAATTGTTTGTTAATTGACGCGGCTGTACTCAAGCCAACGAACCAACGGCGTCAAATGCGCTTCTCTGTACCCCCTACATTCAGCTTCGGCATGTTTAAATCTTTTATCGCCAGTAGCTGAAACCTAAAATTTCTAGTGAAGGTTGCGATCCGTGAACTCCATTTATCTTCGACCATTGAGAAACGACACTCATATTGCAAATGGAATTCATTGCGGAGTGGAGTGGAGTACAGTTCAATACATACCAGACGACTAATGCAACGTCAATCACAAAAGATAAATCATTGATTTGATTTGATTTGATTTGATTTGATTTGATTTGGAGTCCCGAGTCGGTATTACTGGGGTGTTAAAGAGAAGAAAGAGAGAGAACAGGGGGTCGAACAAGCAAGAACGGTCGAGATCAAGTCAAGTGTTCCACATCTGAGGGATGGATCTCGGAAGATGGGTCCTAGACAATAAAATATTAATATAATAGTTAAGACTCAAGATGGATCTTTTCATTCATCTCCTCATACCTCCTCATCGCTAGCATCATGCTTGAGTCTTGAGATGCCGTACTCCGTATGTATATATGGCGTGTAATCACGGTAATGGAATGTATCTCATATACCGTAGTCTTGTCCAGACTACTAGGCATTAATCATATCTTTCATGATATAAGCACTAGATTGTATAAGGAAGCTCAATGGAAACTATGTTCGCTTCGAGATGATTCGAAAGAAGATGATTGGATGATGGATCCATAATTCCGGTGGTCGGTCTACTGTATTAGTCTATGATATATGCCGCTAATGCACAGCAAATCCACAAAAAGGCGCGCGGTTCAAAAAGTTGTTCGCTTCGCTTGATCAACCCGTCCCATCATCCCATCCATCAACATATGAAGTTGACAAGGCTCTACTTCCTCTTCTCCACCACACCTCTCTCCATTCACACTCCCACACCAAGCCCTCCCTCTTCAGGCTAAACTGTATCCTCACAAGCCCTCCTTTATCGAACTTCTGATTTGCTGATAATCCGAGTCTTTCTCAAATCCCCTAATATGAGATAAACCGTTACCGTGCCCTTGGGATCATGCAAGTCGCTTCATTCGATTCAGTCACGTTACAATGAACTGGCATCCCTTGCTAGACCTGGCAAACCATGAAACATACCCCGTCAACTGGCAGATTCTAAAGAGGTTTTTCCATGAGAAAGCTATGCTGACTCGATTTCATGGTAACTTTTGACTGTGGGAGAAGGGCAAGCCTGTCATTGACCGTGTACAGTACCACAGTATGTCGTTCGGCTGCCCGGTGGCCACAAATGCGTCCTCTATTCGTGTGTCACAGGGTGTTCCTTTCCTGCACCTCAGACCCAGAATTTTATCAGCTACCGAGGTACGGGCAAAATCTGAAAGCGATTTCAAATGAATACGATTGCAAAAGATATTCTCATCCGATAATTACCGACGTGATTATCTTTTGATCATCAAATAAAAGACCTCAGCGAAACATCTGCCTTCGGTCCGGACCCTTGAGATCGATCCATTCCCTACTCCACAGTGCACATACCCTAAAGATTCTAGCCTTAGGCTCTCGTGCCCGCCTTTATATGGGTTGACTTTATCTCGGCATGCTCAGGAAGGCGAGAATGAATTCTAACGTGGACAATATACAAGGGGTGTCACATCAGCCAGCCGCCGTTGCACGTGCTGGGATACCGAATACTTCTTGATTTTAAGCTTGAAATATTACTATCCCATCCTGGTATAGTAGAATAAATAAACGTGAAGTCGGCTAAGACTCCCAGCGCTCAACTCATACTTGCTATCGAGTACGGTGCGTTACTAGATCCATTCCCCTCATATCCCGGCGGCTACCCCCTCCCCTGCTCATACGCATATCCCACTTTGTTGATTTGAGGCGCTACCTTGCTCCTGCTCACTGACACCTGGTCCGCGACCCAATAAGTGACCAGGGCTGAGTTTACTGTGCCTCTCATTCTGTTTAGACTTATAGGTCCTGACTGGCATAAAAAAAGAAGCCATCAGTGTTCTACTTGATAGCAAGGCTTCCATCTTTTGACTCGACATTGTCAGGCAGATTGACTTGATTGTGACTATATAATTACATCACGCCAGGTAATTTTTAAATGCTTTATATCTATTCCGGTAAGACTTCCTCTCTCCGCTCTTGAATCTCATATACCTTCTCTCCATGTATTAAACCTTTTGACCAGCTCCCATTGAATCTTCTACATTCTTCGAAGACTCTATTTCTATTACATCTCCAACTATTTTCAAGAAACCTCTTCTACCTCGTCTCAAAATGACCACCATGGGGGAGCCTGCCTTTGGTGGGGGCCATAGTGTTCCTAATAGTGCAGGTCACTCGAGTGCCCGACCTTCAGATATTCCTTGGACTCCTTACAGTGCTGTACGTCCATGTATATTTGACACAACTGGCAACTAGCACCCTCTAACACGAACTATAGGTTTCATCATTTAATATTCCAGCCCAGTACGATTCATCTTTGATGACGCCAATTACCATGGCGCCATCTCCAAATATTTCATCAAGGCCAGCACCCCCATTCAGAGATAGAGGCATCAAGTTGTCACCATCCATGGAATCCCCAGACTATCCACTATTTGGTGGGGACACGAATGACTTTGAATCAAGACTCGGTACTGCCCCTATGAAGCTCAAAAGGCCACGTTCTAGTACATCTAGGATCCCGACCGGCGAGCCCGATTATCCAACTTCTCCAGCCCTTTTCTGTCCATCTCCATACTATGGCGCTTTTGGAGTTTCGGCTACCCCAAAATCGGGACGATCAGCTGAGATGATATCCCCAAATATGAATGCCAGCCCTCAAAACACAGCGTCAAGTGCTATGAGCGCCGATCTTCGGATATCACGTCATGCCACACCAGCTCAAAGTCCAGCGAGTTACAGAGTAAACAACCACGCACCAATACTGATCGCTCCGAATCCCACCACACTGCGACCAGCAACCAGACCTGTAGAGATGCCACATAAAAACGGTCTACCATATGGTCGCCATGATTCAATGAATTCTATGCATTCCATTTCTACATCAACAAGCCCTTTTAATTCGACACCACATCTATACCCCGATCAACAGCTTGCTCCTCTTCCTGCCCGAAGGAAGAGGAAGGATCGTTCCGCGCAACTGGATGTACAGTTTGTGTACTCTGGGGAGCTTAGCCGTGATGACCAAGTTCTCATGCGGCTCTCAGAAGCCGACCTCTCTTGGAAAGACATTGCTAAGCAGTTCAATGACATTACAAGCAAGAATTTGAAAGTGCCCGCTCTGCAAATGCGCAAGAAGCGGCTCTGTGAACGTCTACGTATTTGGACCGACTGCGAGGTACATCCCTAGCTCATTATGTATTTCGGTCAGATCAATCACTAATCCAGACGACAAAGAAGCTAACGAAGCTTAGGAGCGAGCTTTGACTCTCGCTTTGGAAGACTACGATAAAGCGAAATGGGAGGAAATTGCAAAAGGCATGGTGAGGCATGGAGTCAAGGAGAAATGGAGCAAGGAAGCCGTGCAAAGAAAATTCAACGAGATGTTTGATCCCGACGATCGATCATACGGACCAGAGTATGCACTATCCCGACAGCCGGAACAGATGCACTTTGACGTGAAGATGGAGCCACGAACTCCGTGGCCAAATCATGATGACAGGGACAATGCCATTCGCAGTTTCACGGACGATGAGCAAACATTAGTAGGCGACTCGAGGAGTAGAACTGCAAGTGATGCCAGTTCATTGCATTTCCAGCAGCACCAACATCAGCAGATGATGTACGCACAACAACAGCACCAGCAGCAGCATCAACAGAACCATCAGGAGGTATGGGCATGAGATTGAGCAGGGACTTAAGGAGAGGATTCGAGGACGGCATATTTTAGCAGTCTTTTACTTTTTTATATAGTATCTTGAAATTTTGTTTTCTGCGATGATTGGGTATATGAGGCAATCGTTCTACGGAACCATTTGGCTGCACATAATATTGTGTAGAAGGAGAGCACAATAATGCTTACAGGCAGGCCATCAATAGACACATGTCTCGGGGCGGCACAACATCTGACATCATCGTCATGAGGATCTTTTTCTTAGAGCAACTTATATATATTCATTGTACAAATTAACAGCATAGTTTCGAAGAAGCATTACAGTCCTTCAATACACATATATCTATCATTCTCATTCTCGATCATCTAACACACAAAGAAATCCTAAGCAGTATCAAGTCCATGAATAATGTAGTGAAGCCCAAGGTTGATAGCTTATTGAGACAACTCCCCTACAACCAACCATCAAGGCACATCAACCAAACATCGCCACAACGTATATAGTTTGGCATACATCGATAACTCACAAATCCAGTGATCTCCCCATCATGCGGACCAAACCAGGGTATACAAACGCAAACAAGCCCAAATATCACTACAAATCAGACCGTGGAATTTCCTTGTAAGGCTGTAAACTAACAGTTTCCACATCCCATGCGAGTCATCCCGAGCGTATACTGCCTCGTCGTTCTCCGGAGTATGGATGCGTTCTGATTCTCAACTCGAGTATGATACACCCGATACTAACTTTTCACAATCAAGGTAAGGGTAAGGTAAGGTAAGCATTTGGGATCTCAGGAATAATGTGGTGCTGGAAACATTAACTTTGTTGGAGGAAGGAGATGGATGGTTGGGGAGATTTCTTTTGGGTCCAATTACGAGTATATATATGATGTGATGCACATAGTGTGCTGGTATATATAGTCGTATTGGTAATATGGTTCAGACCATACCATTCCGAGTCTTTTTAAAATTGCAGTAACGGTGATGATATACTCGAGTATACTGCGAATACTCTACTGAATCTTTTCCCGGGATGTGTACTACCGGTATACATATTTAGTAGCTATTCCAGAAAGAAACTTGTAATTTCTCGCTTTCGGTGGCGCAGCAGCAGAAGGAAATGATTTTATATTGGGACGGGAACATTATACTGGAAGGAATATTTAGAATCGCTGGAACATAACATGCAGCCCTGTACTTATGTATATCGGTAGTTTGTTGGTATGTGAAGTGAAGACTATTTCTGTGGGTATCTGTATGGTTTCTTGGTGCTGCATTGTGAAATCTTTTGGCATTTCAATGTCGTTTTCAACTTGGGGTTTTTTCTTCCCCAAATACATCATAAGACCTCATTTATTGGTATATTCTCTGTATCCATCCTGAGAAGAACATAAACGCCTGTTTATCAGTTGAATAAATATACCGGGTAGATGAATCTACATACATATATTTCGCATGATTGACTTGCTTTTATCCTATCCAATTTTCACTTACACTCTGTCGCCATGAATTTCCGAATCATATCCAATGAAAAGTAATATATCCATTTTGGATGTGTAACTCCAATTCTATGATCCATTCTCAAGACCATCTAGATGGCGAATTCACCCTTTCCAATAATCGCGTTATATATCCTCCACATGATATATAACTCTTTCTAAACACACATCTAATTCCATCCCATATTACCATCACAGATATGAAGGAAGATTCAAGTGCAAGATTTCACAACCATCCTGAAGAAACCGTTGGAGCTAAGAAATCCAGCCAACAAGCAAGCTTCTCACCATCTTCCATCCGTATCAGCCCTAATCTAGACATACTAATACTCACTGCCAATAGTCAGCACTAAGCGGCAAAAAAGCGGAATGGGATGGATCATGAATGGTGCTTACATTGTGCACTCGCCTACTTGATTTACACGCTGCGGCGTTGCCATAATGCAACAGTTGGTCCAACAGGGGTGCATAAAACAAGGCCGAGCGAAAACAAGAATGATGGTAAAAGTGCGTGCATTCATAAATTCGGAGTGATAAATGGTGCGCCTGGTATGGCTTGTCTTTTATCCTAGCTTTTGTGCAAATATGAGTATGAAATCTATGACAAATAGGACACCGGGCAGGATGCGATAGATACGCACGGTGAATGGGGTGGAAGTGAGTGAAGAAAGCTTCTCGGCAGTAGGATCAAGTGTGAGGTGGCGTCGAATGGGAGTAAAAGCGGTGATTCTTTGAGACAGTCATGTATGGGATTTTGCATATGATAGGTAAGTGTCGATTTCACATGGATTAGCATTGTCATGGCCTGCAAAGATATAGGAGTTTAACGATGTCACTCTCGGGTCTTTCCAGTGAATCAATAAATCGTGTGGCTATGTTCATTTCATTTGGGCATCTTTCAAGGCTAAATTGCAATTGGAGAGACTCTTATATGAGTGAACTAATCATAATCTCGCAGTGAGTGAGTGTCTAACCACCCTTTTGAGAACTCTCTCCCCTTTTCGCACCTACCACATTATATTGCCTACCCTACCCCGTTCTCTCAGTACTACACAGACAGTAAGTTTGACACGAGATTATACCTACATTATTGAAGCTTAAAAAATGAGATGAGCCTGCTTGTCCCACCCTCCATACAAATTTGAAGCTTGAATTCGTCTTGGATCTCGGATTACACAAACATGGCATAAAGATAGATCCCATCGAGACCCTAACACAAGAAGTGGAAGCAGTAACTAATTAACCCCTACCCTCTAATAACAAAACCAAGCAGTTGGTGCTGTGAAACTATAAACATGATTAAAATAAGGATTTACAATTACGTGACCGTTTTTTTTTGGTGGAGTTAAATAGACACTGCACTGCATACCTTTGTCGTGATTCGGCAGTCATCATGCTACGACTACTGTACTATATCTGCCTCACTATAAGTATGTGTATAACACAAACATACATCTGACGATTCTCATCTCGGTCGAATTCATTGACAGAAACGGTAATGTTGTGTGAACACACTATACGCGTGGAAGGAATATTTGTTCCCTGACCTCCCCTCTCCTCTCCTCTTTCTTCTCTTTCCTCCTTTTTGCATGCAGATAGCATTGAAATAGCGTCCTGGATGTTTATTGGATACTATCCAAGAACTGGCTATCAAATACGAATCTTCCAATTCGATATGTGTGCTACAGACAGCGGCTGGTCAGTGCCAACATTCGACTAACTTCACAGGATATCCATGGCGTTGAGGATACAAATTGGTACTTGCATTTGATTCGAGTGCTTGGAGTCGTAAGAGAAGTTTTGAATATGCGTGGAGATTATGAGGGGCGATTGCTTATACTGTTAGGAGCTTGTATAATGAGTTACTCGATATGCGTTGAGTTGCGGCTTACGCTTCTTTTTCCACTTTCTATTGAGGTAATCCACGGCAAGGATCTGAGAGAATCTATCTCCAGTAACGACGTCCTGCCTATTAAAAGATGTGAAACTGGACGATGAATAGTCACCGAGTAAAATACTGTGCGACATAATCTAGCAGTTGTCACATTCGTGACTCCGGCTTCCTCTACAACTAGCACATGCTGTACCGCCATCCTCTCTTGGAACTTTTGATGCGGCTATAATACGCATTCTTTTTTCTCTCATAACCAATTGCGAACACCAGTTCGTATGGTTATATAAGCTGAGAATCGCATCCGCATTCGCTACACAAATGATGGGAATTGTGATAGATCCCATACATCAAATCACTTGATAGGATACCAGTCCAACGACCTGGTTCGGTCATATATCTCTCTTCTCTATCAAATTCTTCCTGTTCAACGTATAATCTTGGCATTGTTCTATATCGGTCTCGATATTAAACTCCTCCTTACCATGGTACCACCTAGCACTAACGACTCAACTTCAAGTCATCCTAAGCCATAACCACAATACCGGTAATCGTACCACCTACAAAGGTACCTCATTTCACTCCTCCCCATTATTAGATCATCAATCTCCCAAAACCTTTTATAATCGGCATCTTATTCCCAGAAACCGTGAGCAAGTCGGCGAGTTGAACTCGCTGATTAACATGAAATCGTCGATAAAAACGGGGATCTTGTACCATATAAGGCGTATATCCCAATATACACCTCTATCTAAGATAGTCTGCTGTACGACACAAGGCCTTTTTTTTTCGAGTTTGTTTGCTATTCTAACTATTCATCTGAGTCTGGGTCTGGGTCTGGGTCGACCACTAGGCGAAGCAAGCTTGAGATAACTTCCCCATGATTTGAAATACATATTTCGCATCTCGCATCTCGAATCTCCTAACAGCAAGGATTTCGCTTTCGCTTCGAAAGTTTATGCAAGAAGTATGCATCTCAGATCTTTTCGTTTATCCATCAAATTTTCGATTCTCAGAAACGTCTCCTTCCTCTCACTGGAGAAACTTTTCCCAAGAAAACAGAACTTTATACCTCTTTGCTCGTAAATGCCCCAAAATAGATTTTTCACAGATAGCTGGTTGTATCTATATCTTATTACCATGGTACAATGCTGTTGTAGAAGTCTTTAGATCGCATTCCTATTCGTAATCGTATTCTGAGGACTGCGGAGAATTAACTATATGTTTGATTCGTGATGTGTAATGCATGATACATCGGATTCTCACCCCAAAAGTACATTGAATTATGTGTATGTGAATACTCTTTACGCAGGCCATCTCTGTTCATTGTTTTAGTTGGATTCGCAACAACTCTTCGTAATTATGAATTCGAGCTATCATATTCCCATCCCACAACTGCATGCATAATGCATATACAAAATGAATTCGGAGTTATCTCATGAATACCATTCGATAGGGATTGAAAGTAAACATTTAGTAAACTTTGAGTGAATATACAAGTGCACGTCGCGCTTCAAAGTCTAAATGACTTTCCTTTTCCTTTGCCAAGTAGCAGACGCAGCGAGCATCTTTATCTACCTATCTAGGCGCGTGTAATGTCGGGTTTGATACAGAGTTCAAGTAAGGATACAAAAGAATGTTCAATAAACTCTTGGTTGCGCATATACAGTACCTTTGTTACTCGAGTACTTGTAATGGTGAATCATGTCCCATCTCATTACTGAGTAGAATTTTTCGGGTTTAGACGATGAAGCATTTGGCGGCGCCAGTGCTCCGCTTATAGGGCTGCGTATGGGAGAGAAAGAGATGCTGTAGGCTGTTTTTTCTGGAAGAGATGCGATTTCCTACTCTTGGGGGGTAATTTTTGATGTTTTGTGTTGTGGGGTCACGGTGGTGTGGAATGGAAGTTCTTTTAAGAGGAGGTTGAACCGCAGGTCATTGATATATCGTGATGGGTGGAATGATGGTGCTTAAGGCATTCTGCTTTCTTCCGAGAACTTGGGCAGATGAGATGAATATTTCGAAAATAATGAATCTCGGATACACATGAAGTATCTACCCGAGTATCTTGCCAAAGAAACCAAACTTCCTTCATCGCTTATGTTTAGCACTCACCATGTATTTCATCCCGTATCTTACTACGAATTTATAGTATAGATTTAAGTTTATCCTAAACATCAATATATCATCGTCCTAGAACCCAATCTAATACTTCGTCCTTCGTCCTTCGCACACACAATACATCCATCCATCCATCCATCCACAACCATCACCTTCTCCATAACTAACACAACTTTCATTTTACCCGCTTAGATTTGTGGCCATCCTATTTCATCCCATCTCATCCCATCAACCTTGTACCACCCCAAGATACAAAGATACAAAAATACACAACCCATGTATTCCCCTTTATCAAGCGAACTAAGCTCAAGTCACACAACATCATCATCATCATCATCATCATCATCATCATCATCATCATCATCATCATCATCATTCTTCTATCATCAACATATTTCCCTCAATATCAAGTTACACTCACATAATATATATATATACCCAATCGATCACAATAAACCATACTATAGTATCTTATTCATAATTGCCATCATAATATGCGAGTTTGTATCTCCACCATGCACCATGCACCGTGACGCGCCAGATATCGAGATATCAATAACATACTGCATGAATAACCTTATAGGCAAATAACTCATAACAACACACAAACTCACTACTCGTACTGTAGATAGATCAACAACCTCAACACACACAATAAAAAAAGACTCAGAAAATCCCCCAAAAAAATCAAAGAGAAGAACAGGAAGGATACTTAAATCTTAAACCTCATGATAAAATTCAATCTACTCGAGTAATCAAATGAAACCCGTGGATCAATATCTCTATCCCTATAATAATAATAATAATAATACAGTAACGAGTACTTATTTTTATTATGTACTCGAGTATTAACAACCGTGACAATCTGAGATACGACGAGAGATCAGATACGGTACCCGATACGATACGATACCGATACCGTACTTGCATTTTGAAAGAAAGAACGAGACACGAGTTAGTTGCAACTTGCGAGTTGCAAATACGAGTACTGTAATCTTGATACATACATCTGATACGGTATATGGTGTATATTCATACTATTCATACTTTGATTTGTATAAGGAGGGAAAAAGGGACTGCTACTATTAGTAATTGGATTTATGCTAGAACGGGGGATATTGGTTTTTATAGGTACATAAAGACATGCATATACAATTACAACTACAAAATATCTAATTTACATACATTCGAAAAAGTACCCAGAAAATGCACCTTATCCAAAACTTCTAGAGAAAAATCTCCTCTACTCGAACCCTACCCACTAAAATCTATTCCGCTTCACTTCCACTAACCTCAGGTTCACTCTCGCCCCCACCCCCCTCATGAACCATACCCTCCAAAACCTCCGTCTCACCCCCCAACAACGGTGCTCTCTCGCCCTCCTTTCTCAAAAAGTGACTTCCGAGACTAATGCCTACGACGCTCAATCCATGCACCATGGTACTTCCTAGCACCACAAAACAAATCACTGGCCATATGATCCAAATGGCTTTTATATCTTCACCTACCGGGCCGGGTTGAGGAAATTCCGGCGCGGGAAGAGGAAGCGACGTGCCCGTTTCGAGCTGAGCGCGTGCTTCCATAGCCAGAAACAGGGCGCCTACGCCCATGGGACCGAAGTGTCCTGCAAAGAGCGCTTCGCGATACGTGCGGATATCGGGTATGAGAGGTTTGGTCAGGAGAAGAATGGGGATTCTGCGGAAGAGGAGAGTGAGGATGAGGAAGAGGATTAGAGTCCAGGGTTTGACGTGGGGTGTGATGGCTGTTGGCTCTAATTGATCCCAGGGGATGATGGCACCGAAGTATACGAACATGCTGGAATTGAGGATGTGATCTACGATGACTGGAAACGGCACCGTGTGGGTTTTCTTGGAGAACCATCCATCGTGGGCGAAACCGACGCCGGCACCAAAAGCGACTAGGAAATCATCGGAGCCGAGGATTGATCCAATGCCGATGGAAAGGATGGCGAGGAGAAGGTAAAATACAACAAATGATGGTCTTGAAATATATTCGCGAGTGTCAGAGAATCGTAGGAGTCGATTAGCAATATTGCCAAGTACAAGACCTGTTACGATACCAAGTACGCATTGCCAGAGCAGAGTGATGGTAATCCACTCTTTGATCGCTCCACCAGGACCTCCATGAGCAGTGAAAACCACCAAACCGATATAGAGGAATGGAAAAGAGACACCATCGTTGCATGCCGACTCGGCTGAAAGAAGATGTCGAATACGAGGAGGGACTCTTTCGCTGAATCGAGATTTCGAGAGGACCGATGCAGCAAGGATAGGATCAGTTGGCGAGAGACATGCTCCTATAATCAGAGCTGTAGGAACAGTAGTCTGGAAAATGAAATAGGCAAACAAAGCAGTGATAGCCCATGAAAATGTCATCACTGGACCTAATAAATAAAGGACGGATTTCCAATGTCTTTTGAAATAATGCTTGGGAAGTTCTATTCCAACAACAAAACACTGAATACCTACAATCACACGCGTGATTTCTTGCATGATCTCATCGTCAAACCCCCAATCTCGTGGAGTGAGTACTTTGAGCACATAGGGGCCGAGGATGATGCCAAAAATAACGGCAAGAGGAGGCTCTGAGAGATGAAGATGGTTGCGAATGAAATTGGAGAAGAGGGCATATATTATTAGGAAGAGTGGAAGGACAAGATAGGTGATGTGCGGGGGAGTTGGTTCCAATTGATCCCACATGTTGAGGTTGTAATGTAACTTTACAGATTGATATGATGTATTGAAGTGTGACAGTGTCAATTGATTGAGCTTTCTGAGCTGGTGAATTGTATACTTCAGTAAACTCTTCTCCCAGTGAATACTGAAGCAAATACCAAACATCAACAACCAAAAATGCATTAGCAAAACCAAGGGCGAAGGGATGCCAAAATGACGTAAGGTCACGTGGGCAGCAAATGAACCTCCTCCACTTCACAACTGGTACTCCCAGCATCAATCGAAGTTGAATCGAAAGCTAGGAGACGCCAAACACTTGTCACAGCAAATATTGGTTCTTGTGGTAAGCTAATTCAACTCATTCAACTCAATAAATCGTGATATAAGAAAAGGGAATACCGGTACGCTCGGAAGATAAAGCTGTATCAAATACCACCTTCTTATAGCAAGTTCGCAAGTTCTTCCGACTCCATGATAGGATACCGAGGACCGAGTATTCCATCAACAATCAAAGGTCATCTTACTGGTATAGAGTCCGTGTATTAATTAGACCATATTGATGGATCCCATCCCATATATATACCCTCATTGGATTTCGTATCAAGATGTCCTTGTCCTATCGGAATTGGAGCAACGTGAGTAATGATACGATATCTGGGTACTCTAAACGGCATGCCATGATATCCAGACTGGAGCTTTGATTCTCAATTGATGTACCGGACAAGAATTTGCATTGAAGATTGATGAAGGGAGGTAACAAATAGAGTCTATGGGGTTGCCATTGACCTTTGTCAGATGGCCCTCTTTCCTATTTTGGACTCGCCGCACTCACCCACTGGAGGTGACAAATAAAGTCTATAGGATTGTCATTGACCTTTGTCAAATATCACTCCTTCCTACTATTTTGGACTCGCCGCGCTCACCCACTGGAAGCGACAAATAGAAGCGAGTAGAACCAAAAGTTGAAAGATTTGGTTTTGTATTGTGATATTTGAAGTTATCTATCAAATATATATTCATCCACGTCGCCTTCTCGGCACTTCAAAGTACATCCCCAATACACCCCCGCCCATCGACTCCCATATCCACCATCTTTCTATATATAAAAAAACCAAGGTTAGTATTTCGGTTTCGTCTTGAGCCTTCAGATGATGGATGTCCCTGCTCATTTTCTTTCCTGTAAATCCTCCTGGAAGTCTCCTGCAAAAAGAAAATGCAAAAAGGAAGGATCCTCAACATACAACAGTGGGGATTCGCTGGTGGTCACCCACCCAACTACTAATCCACCGATCTGAAGCTTGTGTATGGCAGAGCGGACGGGATGCCCAATTCTCTTCAGTCTATGGTCGTATGTGGAAGAAGTGGTGTAAGAAGTGGTCTTATCAGGAACCATACCGATGTCTTTTGACTGACGACCGAAGGTTTAGGATGGTTCCGCATTTGGTATCTAACAACAGCTTTGGGATATCTGATGGTTGAAACTGGGGAAGAAGGTTCCAGGAAGAAGGTGACGGTTTGTATTGTGCAGTATTGAACAGGTTATGCATTTGAGAGGCAAGTACAACCCCTTCATCCAGAGCCACCAACAGCTATCATTATAAGAGGTAGAGTAGTGTTTGGCTAGCAATGACAATTTCCTATCAATCGCTTCAATTGATGGGGTAAATTGTCAAATTGACAAATGTATCTCTGCTCCCAGTTTTGACTTCTCGACCGACTTGATTTGCCATTATAATAGCACGATTTTGAATATCTGAATATCGCGACTTTCAGTCAAACCATGGCCAATTCATTCTTTACCTTGTTTCTCTCGGGCATTATACTTTTATCAATATACTGGTTGTGGATGAAGGTACTTCCTTGGTCTGCCACAAACAAATCCAGATGCTCTTTCTCCCCAGTCCACTACATTTGACATCCTTGTCGAGAAATTGAAGCACATAAACACCGGAAACTTACACCGCAGATTTACTGGCCCTCGACGATGAATTGTTCGCAAGATACGGAAAGACATTGCATACACTATTACCCGGTGCGCCTATAAACCGCAAGCCTTGCAGACCATGGCCAGGCGATGATGCCTCTACCACCGATGGGCATATATGGAAAAGAACTCGAGCACCCCCAACCCGTTTTCAATCGGTCGCAAGTATCGCAATTATCATTGTTGGAAACTTCTTCGGAACGCTTAACATTTCCCCCGTGACTCTAGACTCTAAAGTTGTGTGTAACTTTAAATGCTTATTAAGCAAACCTCCGTGATCCCGTCAACATGGGCAATCAATCAAACAAGGGGGGCCGAGGGATCCAAAATATAAAAATAAATTCATATCTGGCTGAATTTGAATTCAACAAGACCCCACAACTTGAATTGAACCCGTAATTACGATAGAGAGATTCATGGTGGGTGTGAGTTATTGATATATATCCATATATCCAGTCATTCTTTAATTTCTTGTATAAATTCAAAGTTCTATTCACTCTCTCACACGCCTTTTTCTAACCTCGTTCCCTATCGCTCGCCACAGAACTGTCGACCCCATGATTGAGCAATGGGTATCTTCTCATATGTACGGAGTATTTATGCTCTAGATACCATCGATACACGATTCACGAATCCTTCCTCGACTCCATACCAAATCGATCCTGCTTCTGCAAAGTCAAAACGAGACGATTCGAAATCAGGTGAAGGGGTACGGACAGACAGTAATGGCAGACCAATTGCTCAACCGTCTAGATGGAGAACCCCAGAATTCTATTTCTATTATTTGGTTTTCTTGGTAGTTGTGCCATACATGTTTTGGATCGCCTATGATGTATCTAGACGTCAGTATATGACTTGATGGCTGTCCAAAAAGATAATCTGACAGAAGTCCAGCTTCCGACCCGAATTACCATAAATACAAGCACCTTCTTTCCGACGGCTGGGTTCCTGGACGCAAGATTGTATGTGATATTTGAGAAAAGTAGTTATGGCAGATACTGATTCGATGCAGGATATTTCGGATGCACAGTATTATAACTTTCGAACCAATGTGCCCTATCTTGCGATTCTCGTCATTTTCCATCCTATCCTTCGACGCATATATGAATCGCTCAAACCTATCCCTGATCGAGTGGGATCGCCGAAATCCAATGGCAACAATACATACATATCTGTGGCCGACGGTAATGCGAGGCTTCAACAACGAGCCGGATTTGATTTCATTTTTGCATTCATATACCTCTTGGCCTTGCATGGCTTTTCGGCTTTCAAAGTCATCGTAATAGTCTACGCGAACTACTGTCTGGCAACCCGTCTTCCTCGAAAGTTTATTCCCGTCGCAACATGGGTTTTCAATATTGGTATATTGTTTGCAAACGAGATCTCCGATGGATACAGGTTTGCATCAATGGCACAATATATCTCTCCTAAGAATGAAGCTGGTATTCAAAATGGAGCTTTGTTGCATAGCTGGGCACAGTGGATGGATAGCTATTCGGGTATCATTCCACGATGGGAGATTCTGTTTAATCTTACTGTGTTGAGATTGATCAGTTTCAATTTGGATTATTACTGGAGTCTAGAGAAAGGAGCTGGAAGTGCATTGGAGGTAGGTCATGTCCAAGAAGCCGTATATTCTCATCTAATACTAATGCGCAAAAGAAGAAACAACTCGATCCTACCAATCTTTCCGAACGAGATCGCGTTTCAATGCCTGCACCGGAAAAGGACTATAATTATCGAAACTACTTCGCATATGCGATTTATGCCCCTTTATATTTAGCAGGACCAATTTTCACATTCAATGATTACGTTTCCCAGTCGAAATATCGCCCTGCTAGCATAGACAATAAACGAACCTTTAAGTATGGTATTCGTTTCCTGCTCTGTCTGTTGGCAATCGAACTTCTCCTACATTTCGACTACTGTGTGGCCATCTCCAAAGGCAACCCCAACTGGTCTGATTACACTCCCGCTCAATTAAGTTTACTCTCATACTTCAATCTCCATGTATTATGGTTGAAGCTTCTCCTACCTTGGCGATTTTTTAGACTTTGGTCTCTCATTGATGGGATTGATCCTCCGGAAAATATGCTTCGCTGCCTTTCCGATAACCCATCTACTGTTCAATTCTGGCGAAGCTGGCATCGCAGTTATAACCGCTGGATCATACGCTACATTTATATCCCAATGGGAGGTTCATCTTCACAGAATTGGAAAGCACAAATCCGATCGATTGTCAACTATCTCGTGGTTTTCACATTTGTAGCATTATGGCATGATATAAGCCTTAACTTGCTCGTATGGGGTTGGCTAATCGTTTTCTTTATGTTACCGGAAGTTATTGCTGGCATGCTCTTCCCACGAAAGAAATGGCTCAATGATCTTACATACTACAGAGTCGTCTGTGGTTTCGGTGCGGTGGCGAATCTGATGTTTATGATGATAGCAAACTTGGTAGGGTTTGCTGTTGGAGTCGATGGGTTAAAGAGCATTATTTCGGGCATTTTTAAGGACTTTTCAGGTATGTTTTCCTCAAAATTTAACGATAGTTCTAGGACTGACTTTAGTAAATAGGGATTGTTTTTCTGGTTACGGCCTGGTCGGCACTTTTCGTCGGTTGTCAGGTTATGTTTGAAGTGAGGGAGAGTGAACATAGAAAAGGCATTTTCTTAAGATGTTAGATAACATGTCGAAATTAATAAATGTCATTTATTTTTCCATGTTTTCGGCCTCTCGTTTACAGATGAGTCGCTAGTGTTATGGAAGACTGAGTGTATTGCGCCGGTTTAAACTATTGCCTGCTGCTGGTTATAAACGTCTACCGGCTGGTCATATAATAAATGAATGATCTTAGGTATATCACACAATAGAATTACATCCCCCAACTTACGCATCTATTAACCGAGATGAAAATACTCTCCCTATCTTGAGTCTCTCCCTCTTTCATCTCGTTTAACTCTCTTTCTTTCATTTATTCTGTCATTCGTTCATTCGTTCCTTCCTACACTCAATCAAAGAATCAAATAATAAATAATATACCACAAGTGTTATTGAAATTCTTCAGACCATCGAGGTCTCAATCATTATCATAGCAACACCTGCATACCAGCATACCAGCATAGCTTCCCCTATTTTCATATGAAAAATCATATACTAGTATGTCTCAATCTGTATATTTGCATGCATGCATATACACCAAACCCGGCCCATTATTCGCAATATGTTCTTACTATTTTATCTATACATGACACGACTTTTAATATTTGCTAAAGTCATATTTGCTAAAGTCGCAGTTGCAACGGAATGGACTTTTTGAGTTTTTTTAGAGTAGAGTGGAGATGTTTCTGGTTTCGAAGAAGACGAGCGACTCGGAGGGGAAAGCTCGGATGGATATCTGGTGGTTGCGGTATGGTGGTTGCAGTACTGAGTAAGTAAGTCTGAAGATGATGGGAGATGAGGGGAGATGAGGGGAGAGGAGGGAGGAGGGAGGAGGGAGGTGATGAGTAGTGTGACTGGTGACCTGTAGATTTTCAGGCAGTCCATTGTATCAATCTGTGTTGGTTGCGTTGGAATGTAATGTAAGTTTTAGATTTCTATAATCAAAACTTCAATTTATTATTGGGAGTTCTGCAAAAGAATCACATCACATCACTACCAAAAGCCTATGTATGTTTGGTATGGGGTTATCATGGGTAGGTAGGGGTCTCCATTTTGAAGCTAGAGCTTAAGTTTGAAGCTTGAACCCCGAAGTTGATTTTTTTGACTTTGAGACTCGAAATCTGAAATTGGGAATTATTGGAGCTTGAGATTGAGATTGAGATTGAGATTGGGGTTGAAACTTGAAGAGAGAAATTCTCATCTAACTTGAATTGATAATCCAATTCGCGTATCTTGTGTAACCAATCCTCTTCAAAACTCGCTTGCTAGCGAGTAGACAGACCTCTTTATAACTTTAAGGCTATATTCTTTCTTCTCGATGAAATTAGAGTGCTAGTAATCATTATTAGTAAATAAGAAGTAGTAATATTTTCTTTATAATTAATGAGACTTTGAGAAGAAGGCAAAGAATCAACTAAAATAGAAAATAACTCTAAAGAAATTAGAATTGGTTTGATCAACAGGAAATTTAGCTTCCATTTCCGAAAAGTAAATCTTGAAAAGAAATCGATCATTCTAATAATTAGTTAGTACGTAAGCTTAGCTCTCTTCGACGGAGCCCCGAGTTCCTAATCGACAAGAGCGATTGCATATAGTAATCTCAATGTCTCAAATCTTATAAAAGTTTGAAAATAATACACATATTGATTTCGAATACTACAAAACCTTGAAGTTTTACATGGAGATCCCTGGCAAGGACTCGGTCTCGGTCTCAATCCCACTCACGACTGTCACCACAACATCGTTCCCCTCCCTTTCAATTCGCAACTCCATCCTCACATCCCATTGCATAGGAACAGAAATCGCAGTCCCATTAGCAACACAAATAAAGCCCGACGACCACTCTTTCAGCCACGGAGCCCAATCAAGCAGCTTTTTATACAGCGGATAGCTTTCCGCACTCGTAACGAGACGTTGATCCTGAAAATCACATTTTCCATGTGCGTAAAATACGGTGCAGGAATTGTGATTCGGGGGACAAGTAGGTAGAGTGACGATGCGGAGGAGAGAGGAGAGGTTGTGGGAAGAGGTTGAGGATGAGAGATAGGTTGAGAGGGGCAGGTGGAAGATCTGTGGAGTGAGCGTGGAGGTTAGTGCGATGGTGGCGTTGTGTGAGCTGATGAGTTCTTAGGATGTGGTGGTGAGTGTGAGGTTGGCTTGGGATGTTTGTGTGGAGGCTGTTTCGTCTTCGTCGTCTTCGTCGACATCATCCCGAAGTTTCATTTCACTTGATATCCCTGCTTTGCCATGCGTTTCCCATACTCCGAGCTCTTCGGGCTCATGGTATCGGTCGGCACATATAAACAAAATGGACCACGCCTCGAAATCCTCGCTGGGATCAAAAAGGGGAGAAAAAAGTCCTAGTGCTTCAGAGAGAACATATGTACCGCGACATTCTCGTTGAGTAAAAAGGTGCGTGTAGGATTGTTGGCCTGCAGGACATTTGATCGGGTAGAGGAGTCGGAGTTCAATGGCGGCTTCGCGAACAGAGGACCAAATGCATGTTTCCACGGAGATCTTATTTACTTGCGGGCCGCGAATACCCCGTGAAGGAGGGTTGAAGACGAGACCTGCTTCATTGCGATTGATGATTGGGGATACGTTGGTTTGGGTGCGGTCGGCGTTTAGGACTCGGAGACCCCTTGGTTCGGGGAGGCTTCTGAGAGCCTTGGTTTCGGAGAGAGCACATTTGAACATGAGGGACCATGTTTCTAGTGGCTCTCCTGATTTGGTGGGTGGCCAGATATCTCCAGATGTAAGCCTGTGGGTTTCGATGGTGAATGAAGGTAAGTTGGCACAAATGGGAGTATTGAAGACCAAGGTGTAAGGTTTCTGGCCACCAGGACAGATGGGATTGGCTATAACGCTCAAATCAGAATTCTCGACAATTGCGAGAAAGATTGAGACGGGGAGCGTGATGTTGTGAGGGAAGGGTAAAGATTGCACTAGGAGGATGCCTGGGATTGGTTCTTCAGGTTGGCTGGCTATTGATATTTGATTGTTGGTGCTGGCATCCGTGTTGATCGTGCTTGGTATTCTGTGAGTGTCATCGGAGTTGTGAGTGATATTGATAGTCGCAGCATGCGTAAGTAATGCCTTGTCCAGAGTTGGTAGGGCAAAGCCAGAGCCAGCGAGGAAAGTGAGTGTAAGAATTACAGCAGTAAATGATAAAGACTGCATGATCGAATGAAAAATATTAGAGTTACAAAATGAATAGCCAAAGTTTGAATATCAGCAAGAGTTCAAGATATACCACAGTATTTGAACATAAACATTCAGACTGTGCCGTCGAGTTGCCTAGAAAGACCCAAACAACACGGAGGTAAGCCGAAAAGGTACGCGGGATGCCGAATGTAGAATAGTGACCCGAGGAATTAGAAATTAGAAATTAGAAATGCGAAATGAATAAGAATTTATGAAAATTGTGATTCATGAGGAAGATTGATGGGTGATTTCAAGCTCATATCCACTTGTTGCAAAAACAGAAGTCTAATTCAAACACCCCATCTAATCTAAACACTGACAATCCTCGATACTACCGAATCGCCTCCATTGACTTATTAAACTTGGACACATGGTTGCAATCCGTGAGTTGGAGCATTGCATGAGCAAATTCCAAATCCTCTCTACCGTGTATCCGAAATATGGCGCATCTGGGCTATCCAAGCTATTACCAACCATACTTACATTATGGCTCCAGCCAGTAGTTGACGACATTGCATCGAGCAAATTCTGATAAATATCAAGAGGAACCCCTCGAATACGCCCTGCAGAAGCTACAAATTGGCCCTTATACGAAAGCAGAACTGGTTCTGTGCACGTGTTATGGTGCAGTTTTTGGTATAAAGAAGGGACAAATGCCCATTGATCTTCCCAGCCCCAGCGATCACCGCAATCGTCGCAGTTGCATAGGACACCGGCAAAGCCTAAGCTTAGCATTCCCGTATTCTCAACCAGATAGTTGTCGATGCGAGGGATTAGCTCGCGCATATTGTGAGGGTGTGCTTGGATGAACATGGTTTGGGTGGCTAGAGTATCCCATTTTGTGACGATGTGGTGAAGGTAAGTGCCACCTTCTCGTCCCAGATTCTCGAGCTGCTCGACGATTTCTACACCGGTGTCAGCCCGAAGTGTATCAAGATTGGATACCGGTTTCTTGGTATAGATAATGACTCTTGGATCGATTGTTTTGAGAAGAGCCGTGTTTCTGATTAATGCAAGCATGGTTTTGACAGATGCTGGATCTTCGTCATACATGCTAACAACAATGTCGAAACGAGACTCGCCAACATAGGTTCTGTCTAATTGTGCGGGGAGGTCGGGGGGTATTTCATTAATATTTGTTATGACCGCTGATACAAGTAGCCAGAGCATGGGCAAGGTCAAACCTAAGAGAATGTTTCTCAATAATGTCATTTTGGTTGTGGGACGCGAGACTTCGGTAGAGGTTGTCTGAAACATTCCGTCTTGTGAAATTCTTTCGCTTTCCCCAAGACTACCGGTGTAGTAATGTGGACTGGCATTGGTGGATTTCCCAGGAAAAGCAAGCAAAGCAACCATTGCAGTGTAGTATGCTATGTGTTGAATGAGAGAGACATACGATCCTGAATCCGACAACATCGAAAGCCAAAAGATTAGGACGGAGGAAGCGCTTGATGCAACAACATTCGATATAAATGATCTTTCATCCTTGATTTCTGAGGGCGTCTGAGCAAAAAGGATAGGAGAAAATACCAGCAATGAAGTTCCTGACAAGATAGCTGCAGCCGTGGAGCCAATGTTGATAAATAGTAATGCCGAGGTAGAGCTCAGAAGGGGGCTCGGGTGAGGTATAAATTCAAAGGCATAACTCGACAAGCCGGTAATGACGAGACCAAAAATAGCGGTCAGAATGACGAAACCATGATGCGCACTCAACAGAACTGCAGGGGTCCGGTTAAGTTCAATATGTCTGCAAGCGAGACAAAGCCATGCTTTAGATGCTCCGGTAGCGATGATGCCAGCTACTCCAAATATGATGCCGGGTACCATAAGTCGATATTCGTCGTAAAGGATAATGCTTGATGCAAGAACGACTATTCCAGTTTCACCAAGAACCTGTCCTCTAGTAGGTCCCAACACGGAGCCAGATAGAACTAGAATGATTCTATCTGTAACCCACGCCAAAGGCTAACCAACACAATGTTAATCATGAACTTTCAGCAAAAGAAGAGGTGAACTCACAAATAACATTACCAATACAGGTAAGCTCGGCATATGCAATATAGCCTGCATGAGCAGAGGTATTGCCATTGCAGCCGCAACCGATGCAGGAAGTAGACTTGCCCATTCTTCCAAATATGTAAACTGTCGCCATTTCGGAGTTTTAAAAGCCAATCGCCCCAGAATCTTGTGATTGACAGTCGGGGCTTCGAGTTCTACACATAGGGATAGAATATCCGCAGCCAGCAATACTGCAAAGAATCGAAAGGCGATCGTGAGAGCTATGATCTCGTTACATACAGAATCGGGAACATCGAAGAGAATATAGCCTACGGTAATCTAAAAATGGTTAGCATATACAGTTGAAAGATGAAGGGCGCGACTTGCGGTATGAGTGGTGAATCAAAAGATATTTGCTCGAATATATGGAAATCGTCGCAGAAACGATCCAGACGCTGATGAGGAGGCGAAATTCATATTAGCAAAATTTATGGAAGCAGACCATATCGAAGACAGCCTGATGAAACATACTTTGCTTACTAGTATCTTACTCCATATGATGTCCTAGGCTTAGAGTAGCCTATCTCGTGTTCAGATTCGCTTGATATGTCTTCCTCTGATATAGGAGCATTTGGAAAAGTGTGTTCGACCTCGGTAAGTCTTATTGTATTCGAGGTTGGATCCATCGCGATGGCGTTGCATCGCAGGAGAATTATTGAAAATGAGGAATGTAGCTGTGTCTTTTCGTAGATTAATGAATAGAACTATAAAGTGGAATAGTATGGGCACCTATTGGTGGGGCAGGAGGTGGAGATAATGTTTCTTCATCCCTATTTCATGACAGAGTGGGTTTCCTCGAAACCCCCCTTTTATCCCACTTCTCGTTTCCGATTGGCTGATATGAAATGGGGATATCCTCATGTGAAAAATAAAAGCTCTTCAAATAGATATTGCACGGGCCTCATAGGCTCATACTCTCTAGCATGAATTGGAAACTCTTTAGCCTAGTGATGTCCCACCTAACATCCCGTTTGAGTGAGACCCATAAATTTAGACAAACTCAATAATGGGGCGGATCCGTTGATCGACATTTGAAGCATCGCCAAGATTGAACCCTTCAAAACTAGCCTTAAGTGCGCTACCTGCTACAATTTCGCGAACAAGTGATGTGTAACCAGAAAACCCTTCCAATTCTGTCTGACACGAAACGGGTATTCAACTCGGCATGGCCTCCCACCCAACTCACCTAGATCTTCTTCGCCATTTTCCCCGGATTAACAAGCCTGGTTAGAGTGCCTACTGTACCTATTGTACTCCACTTTCTAGAATCTGGGGCTGTATATCATACCTGCCTAGCCTTTAAAGGAAAGTCTTGGGTGTTTCTTTCCTTCAAGATTGGTTCCTACATGGATAAACTAGTAGATTTCATTAGCAGTATTTAGGAAACGAACTTACCGTCGATCACTGAAACCCGGTAGAAAATGCTGACTTGAAATATGCTAAAATGATCTTCCTTCCACAACCGTGGGTGAGATAGCATAATCCTCTGTAACTGTGTTGAAACCCCTATATTCCTTCGCCAGGCAGGCATATCTAATCATTATGTCTGCGTGTCTGTCTCCAAAATCTTCTCTCCGCCTCTGAATCTGTCAGCCTTCCGTACTCCTCGAAACGATATTTTTTTATCCTTACTTCGACTCAGCCTTCGAACCATATAAATCTTGATGTCTTGTTTCCCTCAACGGGCGGCTTTCGCCAGTAGTGACTTCTTTCCTGGACCATTACAACCAATTTCTTTCTCAAGTTGCTTCCTCATTCGACACTCCACCCTGTCAGCTTGAGGATTATATATTTCAGATTCCCTTCAACCATTCTGCTGTCATCACAACAGTCTCATTAAATCTTGAAATCCTGTACTCTGTTCTCAAGTCCATTAGTAATATATCTTTCGTTGCATTCACCTTTCAAATTCAAATTCAAATTCGGACAAAAACCTGCTCAGCACGCCAAAGCTACCTTCAAATCAAATACTTCCCATCAATCATGGAAGCTTGAATGTACACATACCTCTATTCGCTCACCTAGAAATGCCTCTCGTTATATAATCCCAATCCATAATCGACACCGCCACACTGTAATCACCTCTCCTACTTTCGGTACCACTCAAATCAGTCTCGCCAAACATTTCCCGACACATTGTTGTCACCCAATTCATACATTTTTCGTTGTTTCAAGTTCCTGCTTAGGGTACTGATCAGTCTGTAACCTATCCATTAGCAACCTTGGTTATGGTAGGGCGCCATTCAACTATGAATCTTCTTCGAAGAAAAAAACTCACTTTGAGAATCGAGTTCCATCCAAACCAGCCGGCCGACCTTTTAAAAAGAGAAAATTGTGACGAAAAAGAAGAGAAAGAAGACACATAGACATGGTAAAATAAAATAAAACAAAATAAATTGAACAAAAATATTGAATTTTCCTTTCTTTCATTCTATCTTTCTTTATTCTATCGAAATTTACCCATACCATGAAGATATCCATGCTAGGACTCCAACCTATCTATAATGCCATGCAAAAACAGACGAAATAAGTATCAACAAGAGAATTTAAAGCAAAGGGTTAGATCTATACTCAGGTACCACAACATTGCTACCCTTCTCAGCTTGATTCTCCTTCTCCAAATCATTCTCCGTGTCCTCTTGCTCGGCGAGGAATTTTTCGGCCTCGAGAGCTGCGATACATCCAGATCCTATTGATATGGTTAGTTTAATTTCACAGGTTCGGAACATCAGAGATGTAACCTACCAGCACTGGTAATAGCCTGTCTATATCTCTTATCTTGAACATCACCGGCAGCGAAAACTCCCTCCACGTTTGTGTAACTCGTTCCGGGCTTGGTGACAATGTAGCCCTCAGAATCCGTGTCGATTTGTTCCTTGAACAATGCAGTAGCTGGGTCATGTCCGACGGCATAAAATAATCCATTGGCCTCTGCCTTCTCTTCCTCTCCAGTAGTGGGGTTTTTGAAAATCATATGGGTCATCAAACCCTTATCATCACCAGTAATTTCGCCTCCAACGGTATTGTACCTGACAGTGACTTTCTTATTGGCAAGCAATCTCTTAGCCATCGTTTTCGACGCGCGTAGATGATCTTTTCGGACCAGAACCGTAACATGAGACCCGTATTTCGTAAGAAACATGGCTTCTTCCGCGGCACTATCTCCACCACCAATAACTACCAAAGGCTTATTTCTGAAAATTGGGACGGCTCCGTCACAGACTGCGCAGGCCGAGATACCATTTTGCCAGTATTTATCCTCACCTGGAAGACCGAGTCTGCGAGCCGATGCACCAGTAGCGATGATAATAGAGTCGGCTGTGTGTTCTGTCTTATCGTCCCATTCGGTCCAGTACTTGAAAGGACGTTTGGAGAGGTCTACTTTTGCGACTGTTTCGGTAACAATTTCAGTGCCGAATCGTTCGGATTGTTCGCGCATGTTGTCCTTTTCACCATTTCGTTAGCTGCAGTCCCGATCAATTTACACACACTGGTTGGCTTACCATAAGTTCTTGCCCGCCAATTCCCTTGGGGAAACCGGGGAAATTCTCTACATCAGTAGTGGTAGTCAACTGTCCACCGGCAGCAATACCATTTGCTAGGAAACCCTCATAGAGCACAGCTAAACAACAAATGTCAGTCGACCTCCTTTATAGCCTTTCAACTTCCAATCTTCAAAATTTGGACTCACGTTTCAATTCCGCCCGCGCAAGATAAATAGCAGCAGTGTGAGCCGCCGGGCCGGAGCCAATAACTATTCTCAAAGTCAGCAAACATTCGCAGACACCATCTTCCATTTCTTCACTCAATCTGAGCTCACCTCGCCATACAAAAGGGGAATACTCACTAACAACCTTACTATGCATCCTTCTCTCTATATTTCTTCCAAGCAAGCTGGTGCTATTACTTTTTACCGTATTCTTCTGTTGAATACACGCAGCAGCCGCAATCGAAACACCCGAACCACTTGCCCTCAAAGTCCGTTTAAGAGCTGAAGAAAACAGTTTGTCGAATTGAAAATGGTGCCCCTCTTTTTGAATAATTGGTTGATCCTATTCGCAATTGTACTTCGAATTTGTTTCTGCTGAACTCTTTGATCTATCGATCTATCCGTAAAATTCTCGTTATAAAGTTTTCAAAGAAAGTAAAGCACCGTGGTATTGTTTATTTATGTATGAATGTTTTTAAGAGAAACTCAAAGATTCGCTGTTGTTGATTTCAAATGGTGTTCCCGTTCCCCGCCAAAAATTCGTGATTTCCAAAGCCTCAAAGGATCTGGACCCCGTTCCTGTGTCTGGCGCGGCCCTGCAATCAATAAGCAGATTTTACCACTCAAGTATATCTTCAGATATAAAGAAACTTCATTGTTGCCCAAATTGGGCTTAACGTCATTTGATACATCTAATGATTTGAAATAGATCATCTTAGATATATCTACTGAGTAGTCTTTAGATGTAAAAAAGGTTCACCGGGAATCTCACACTTGACATCTCATGTGACTAAACTCAATGTATATCAAAGGAAGACTCTTAATATTTGTAGGTAGATGTGTGTGAGAGTATCTCGATATTATTGTAGGACTGATTATATTCTAAAGCCCATCCATAAACCGATTATCTATTATTTGGTGTAATCGTCCACACTACCGTCTTTTTTGGCACCAAACCTTCCCCCTATATTCATCCCACCAAACCCAGTCATATCTCTCCTGAAGAACTTTCCAATACTCTTCAAATTTCCTTCCATGGCAGCCTTTGCATCCTCGCCCAAAGGGCTTACTCCTCTGTCACCAACCCCTCCAGTTCCCATACTATCCCTTGCCGCACTAAACAGCTTTTCTCCAAAACCAGCGGGGTCAAATCGTGTCTGTAGTCCTGGCATGCCACTAGGTGTTCCAATTCCTAAACCTGTGCTGCTAAGTCCCGCGACATTCATAAGTGGCGTGAGAAGAGGTGAGTTTTGCACCAGGTGCTCGTTAGTCTTACCATCCCTATGCATACCGAACATTTCAACTAATGCAGGCTGATCTTGCTTCCTGACCCCCTTCAATTCTAGAATTTTCCGGAAGTTCGTATCGCTACGATCGGCGATGTGAATTAGATATGCTTGGACCAGTCCCTCTGGTGGTGATGGGCGGACCTGTAGCGTCTTCAGGAGCGGGTCGAGACGAGCCATTATGTTATTCACACGTTTTTGAAATGCAGTATTTGCAGTGGCTGATGAGGGAGATGGGGAATGAGTGAGCAGAGCTGTTAATCCTTTGGTTAAGACATATTTGTCTAGTAACATCTAAATGGTAGGTTAGAAGAGATGCAGTAGAAGTGGGCCCCGTGTGGTTAGAGATTAGTACATACCTGTTCGGCGCCTACCTCGGATACAGGCCGGCATTGAACGATGTTCGCGATATATGTATTTGCCAAATGCTCGACAACGTTATCACAGAATGCACGCGCATATTGCTGTTTCGCCACCAAGGGTAGAATTTTTCCTGCTTGATCATTGACATGTTTCAACAACTCTGCCACATAACTGCTTTGATCTCCCACGCTTTCCATTTTGCTCCAATTCGTATTTTTCATCTCACGCCATGATCCTTCGCAATCAACTTCAACTCTGTTTACCAATGATAGAACTGCCGCACTGGCAACTCCCATAAACGTATCAGATTGTGACGATAAGTCCACTTTTGTTGCCAAGTCACTATCGATTCTCCTTTTCAGATTATCTTCTAATTGCTGAGTATTCGCGTGCCAGTAATCTGCTGTGTTGAGAACAAGGATCGTATGTTCAAGACTAGGTCCTCCTGCTCCTTGTAAGAAGAATAGTAGAACCTGCTGAGCATATTGATCGAGGTATTTAGCTAAGATCTTCGAGAAGTCAAGAAGCCGTTCACTGGTTGACAGCTTAGCACATTGAGCCAAGGATGTCTTGTAGAAGTGAAACAGTTCGATGGATGACGGAATCACGGCCTGTGGGGAGAATTCTTCATCAGCTGCTAGTAGTGGCTGAATTCGGTACTTGGGTATCATTGTGGCGAGTTGCTTGTCTTGTGAGTCAACCCAGAGACTGAGATACGGTTCAAAAGCCTCGGATATAGACCCATGAAAGGTCAGGGGTTTATCTTCGAGAGAGCTTAGAGTATCGATACTTGCTCTTGCCCCTGTAGCGAATCTTTTCTCGAGACTTTGCTCAAAATCCATAGTCTCCTGAAGGCAACTCAAGAGCAGATTGACGTCTATCCTACCTCCATCTGTTCGACGCATGCTCCGCTCCAAAATGCCCTTGAAATCATCCCTGGTACCTTCACAGAAGGCATTTGCCAGAACCTCATTGACTCTCCACCCAGCAGGAAATATTCCTGCATGTTCATCCTCAAATGTCTTTAGCATTCTCCTGAACCAACTGTATCTTCTACCAATATTATCCAGGCTTCCAGCTTCGTCATTTCCCCTGAAAACTTGCCTATATTCCCTCAATTGCGTATTGACATACCATGTCACTAATCTTGCTCGAGCGTTATCACCCAATGCATCCATCACCAGGCATGACTCTGCCAACACTGCCTTCTTACTACCCACCTCTCCTTTGGCAAATGCGATTTCAAAGTCCTCACAAACTTGCTCCAATAACTCTCTTT